AGTCATCTTGATATGGTGATGGTTGAACATCTGAATTAAGAAAAAAATTATAGATAACTAAAACACATTTGTTTTTAAATCAAACATACAAGGAAAACGTTACACAGTAGGGTTGAAGAATTATTTCAGATCTTGCCTTAAACATTTCTAAACACTGCTGATGGCCAATGTTTTCATTATTAACATGTACAGGAATGCCTCCAAACATATAGAATTACACTCCAGCTTAGTTTAAATAACAATACAGCACATAAAAGCTGTAACTGTGATTTAAGGTGTACTGTATCTTAAAGTTTGTGTGAAATATTAATGAAAAGATGGTAGACCTGATTAGGGACTTGAAATGCAGATAGGTATACATGGCACTATATCCATATATTACACAATGACAATAAAAAAGTGTCAATATACATTGTGTACTGCACATGTACATACAATGTACCTGTTTTAACAACAGAATTTAAATACAAAAATTGTGCGACACACATTAGATTCCAAACACATTTTTGTGAGCACTATGGTAATAAACCATCTTTTGCTAACATCTTCACAAGGTATATGTGTCCAGAAAATAGTTACACATACATGCATATATGTAGTTAAAATCTGTTAGAAGTAAACTGAAACAGATTGTTTCCTTCAAAATAAGATTTGACACTGCCATGTTGACTCATGCTTGAGTGTCTGTACTGCCATTGTCAGTTAAGTATATTTTATCTTTGGCTATGGATGCTTATCATACTGAAGCCTAAACTCTCTGCATAGTTCATCAGAAAACTGGACAGAAATAGTTTTGAGATGCATTTGAAAGTTTTGGGAACAATATATAGTTGGAGGTGATCACAAAGAGCTAGCAAGCCACACAAGTTAAATTTTAATTTGTTCATTACAAACTGACCAGAATTTGAATGTGCACAATAATGATGTCCTATAATTATATATAGAACTGAATCTAAATTTTTCTGAGACACACAAACTGATGTAGCCTGCTTTATGTTTGCTCACAGTTCTGTCTTCTAAAGCAAGTAACACTATTATTAGAAGAAAACCAATATTTGTCTAGTGTGTTATAATGTCTGTACATGTTACTACTATTGACATACCTATCACAGTCTAGCTGACACTGGTTTGATACTAAAGTGAAGTCTTAAGCCTTTTAATCCATATTTAAATAGCAAATTTGCAGACTGTTTTGATTTATAAGCCATACACATTGAAATTTAAATACAGGCTTATGCCTATAGACTTACTTCCAGGGAGGAAATTCTAAAATATCTAGAAAGTTTTAACTGGGAAAAATTGCTTTCTTATCTTAGGCAAACTACAATTTGTATATATAATTTTAAGACATTTGCAAATTTTAAAAAGAAAATAAAGGAAGAGGAATCAAGAAGGATAGGTGACAGAAAAACAGATTCAGGGGTCAAAGAGGTCAGGAGCTGATTATACATCATGAGAAAAAGTTACATACCAAAACAATACTTATCTTGGGATGAAGGAGCCCCATATGGTATGATTATTCAAAAAAGGAGGGAACAGTTGTACTTAGGTCATGAATACTTAAGGAATGCATGATGTCACTGAAGGACAATAGCGAGACAAGATTGGGGGACAAATTGCATCATAACTGAAAAATGCATGATTGTATCAGTTCAAACTAAAAGACAGCTGTGAAGTTGACTGTTCGGGGCATAATTTGAATAAGCACCAAATGACCAAGTGGAATGGGACAAAAGGGGATCAAGCCCGAGGGAAATGGGAATATGATTTTACAAATACGAACACGAAAGAGAGGCAACATGAGGGAGTAAAATATGACAAAGGAGGATATATGAGAGTGAAATGTGATAGTGACAGACATGAGGAAGTGAAATGAGGCAGAGGGGACATGACAGAATTATATGTGACAGAGGGGGATATTACAGAGCAAAATGTGACAGTAGGGACATGGGAGAATGAACTGAGACAGAGGGAGACACGAGGGAGTGAAATATGACAGAGGGGGCCACGAGGGAGTGAAATATGACAGAGGGGGACACGAGGGAGTGAAATGTGACAGAGGGGGACATGAGGGAGTGAAATGTGACAGAGGGGGACATGAGGGAGTGAAATGTGACAGAGGGAGACATGAGGGAGTGAAACATAACAAGACAGGGACCTGCAGGAGACAAATGTAACAGACAGGGACATGAGTGAGAAAAATGGACAGAAAGGGACATGAGGGAATGGAATGAGTCATGATGAGAACTGAAAGGGCTGAATCTCTGATATCAGAACAGTTTATATTTCAGCATACACTGTAAATAGTGGCAAGCTAGTTCACTATTGATAGCTAGCTTATATGACCGACATAGAATTTGCATGTAAACAAGTAAATGGTTAGGACTTGTCTGCATTAAAAAAAATAATGATTAATACCAGAAATAATTGCTTCTTCATTCACATTTACTTCTTTGTAAACTACACTGATCTCCAAGGCAAGTACAACCATATTTAAACTTCTAGCCGTATGTGTTAAACTTTAATGTATATTTATTTCTTTATAATTAACTGGTAAACATTCAGTGATATTACAGATGGTATCAACACAAACCTAGATATTGTCTGTGTATACATGCATCATTAACCAAATCAATGGTCAAGTTGACTGTTGATTGTTGGTGATACACCTTTACAGAATGTGGAAGCCAGAGGGAAGTTCTGAAAATGACCGACTATATTTGTGAATCACAAAGCTAAGATGTATATACACACATTTTTCATGTTTTCCTTTTTCTTATTCTTTATTTCTTAATATATCCTCAGGTAAAGCTTCTGAATAAATCTATTCCCTTAAGATGATCAAAGCAAGCAGAATGGAAAGAACCATAACATAACTGGACCATGTAAACTTTTTAAGACACTTACCACATAATAAGGACAGATCTAGTGACCTTGCTATCCATTCATACATTAACTTTAGATTTAGAGATGTTACAGCTCTGATAAAGAAAAATACTGACGTTTGCCAAAATTTACCAACAAATTGAAGTTTTTGGGAGATCATAAAGATACTGCATTATGCTCGTTTTTGCGAAACGGAATTTAGACTGAAATTACTGGCATCGACATATTCATGTACACCACATCTGTATATTATTGGTGATTAATGCAATTTAGAGACCTTCACCATATTGTGTACAGCAAACAAATGGCAGTTAAACCAAACATTGTAATTTTGCAATCAGGAAAACTTAGTTTTGGTAAATCTTTCACTTCTGAGAAGTACACTAATCTGATTATTAATGCAATTATGTCCAAACTAAACACCAGATGCCAACAAATTTTCCAGGAGAAAATCATTTCGTAATTTTCTAAGCATGTAGCCTCCAGCTACACAATAATAACAGTCAATCTAAAACACATAGCAAGGTGTAAATGTATTTTGGAACATTTTCTTCAGGTTGAATAGAAGTTCTGATAGCACAACCAGTGGAAGATTAGAGTGTGACGTTTTGATGACTACATGATCACCTTCATCAGACAAATTTCCAGTGAGGAATGCAGTAGCACTGATGTTTGCAGTGTATGTGATGGTATGGAATCGATCAACTTTTTCGGCTGCACTACAATCCTATGTACACTAAGACAGAAAATGGTGTGATGAGATGGTAAACAGATTATAGACCAAAAAATACACCAGATGGTAACAATGTACTGTCGTCAATTTGGCTACACCTTTGTTTAAGACTTGGTCAAACAAAGGTGTAAATGTATTTATATGTTAAGAAAACTATGGAGTCTCATTTACTCTTTTCATGGCCTGTAAAAACCTGTTTAAATGAGGAAGCTCTGATTACTGCATATAAATTGCAATCATTAATCCAGAAATCAACAAACATTGTGTCTGACTCAGAAGTAGGGGATAGGTAAAATTTATTGCTGGGCAATGAGATCACATCTGTTGTGATTCCCACACTGAATCTACCATAGATATGAGTGAGCTTACCAGTTATGGACTTAATGTCATATTAACTAAGATATGAACAGGCTGGGGACATCCTTCGATTTGATTTCTATGTGTGTTCCCTCTCAAATCCAAGGATGTCTGATTCCCAACAATGAGCTGACATTTTATTTAAACAGTGGAAGACATCCCAGATTTTTTTTGTAGCATAAAACATTTTGTGACATATCATCAGCAGTATAACAAATATCATGATTTCACTCTATTCAGTTTCTTTAAGCCTATAAAATGTAATAAGGGTATACCAGGGTATTGTATTTATTAATGAACTTGTGCATGGTGACTACAAAGTGTAGCCATATAGTGAAAAGATGTATTTTTTTATCTATTTGGCATAAAAACAATATCATTAATTGGTAATACAAATCTATAATTCTACTATCAAAGCTGTACCTTATTGAGAAATACTACTTGAATAAATGTGTTGAATAGCAGATGACATCAGATTTATGGATCTATATTTTAACCTTTATCTATGATACTGTTAAGTCATATATGGTCTCAATTTTGTGTTTTTTCAAAGAAACCTTTTCATTAGGAGATTTGATTTTATGAGTTATATATATACTTATTTTGACAGTTCTTGGACATATAAATTTGAGGATTAAGGGTGCCCAGGAAAATATATTTCCATCAAAAATGAATGATCTGACAGTAATTAAAGGGCCTTTCATCTATCATGGATAATAATGTTACTACGGCAAAACAATAGGTCATATATTCTTGATATCAATGAAAAGGCGATAAATACTAATTCTCTTTATGTTACATACTTTGTTTATTACAAGTACAGTTTGGGTTCCTTTTTCTAAACCTACTTTGACAATAATATTTTAGTATGAAATTGAATATACATGCATCAAGAAAAAGGGTTAGTATGAAACATACCATGCAAATAGAATTCTTATGAAAGTAAATATTTTTAATATTTGCTGATTTTCGTAATGGACTTTTCAAAATCAATTTCATTTCATTTAGACATTTTTCCATTTACCTCTTCCATATCCATGTGAGTGCTTGGCAAAGCTGTTGACCACCGCATCTACAGCTTCCTTCAAGACAGCCTTTGCACGGTTGTCATTCATTGCTTGTCCAGATGCTGCCATTCCAGCTGCAGCAGCAGCCATCACCTGCGATGACATTGGCCTGTCCATCATGACTGACATCGGGTTTCCATTGGGAGAACTAGGCGATCTGGCTCCTCTGGGAGCTGGGACTGGTTTTGGTGGCACACCTCGTTGGTTGTAATTGTGCGATGCCATTTAAGTTTGACAGGCTACATTGGATATTTAATGTCAGTTCAGTTCCGAAATGGTCGATGTCAATCTCCTTTAGAACTGTTTAAGAGTTGCCTGTGTGTTAAGGCTAAACATTTAATCCTATAATGAAGCTCAAGTCCATAAAATGTACAGATACAATATCTTATCTTTGGCTTATTCAATTCAGCCAAGCTTGTAACTGATATGGCACCAAGGCTGCTCCAGCAAAGTAGTTTAGAAGGGAAATCTGCGTTATTAAATTTACTTACAATTCAAGTGTTCTATCAGTCGGGACAAGTGATAACAGGGTGACAAGAAAGTCCACTATTATCTCACACAAATCGATTATGTCGAAATGATCTAAACCCTTTGATGGTTGACAACCGAATCAGTGACAGCGACATTGTAACATCGAACACTTTCAAAATAAGTTTTTCCACTTCCATGTAAACATCCTGACAATGATAACATAGTATTCAACCTGTAAACAGTCTACTTCACGTTTCTGAAGTAGGTAGCTGATTCAGAGTCCGACGGTTAGTAATCAATGCGGTCTAAAACACGCCAGGAATTTAACACACTTTGCTGACGATCCGCTGGCCCTCAGTCGCCCATGTTGGTGAACTCTGACCTTTCATTCGTTACTGCGGATCTAGTAAATATATTTAATATATATATAAATTACCAATATTGATTGATTTCAACAAAATGTAATGTTTATTTTCATACTTACGCTTAATATACTTTGATTTTGTCAAATAAACACGAGTTTTCAAACTTAAATTTTGATGTGATGTAAGGGAGGTAACTCTTTAAATATATATCATATCGGCGGCTAATCAAGATTAGCCAGAATTGATTATTAGGCACAGGCGAAGATAAAGATCAAGTCATGATTTTTAAAATTAAAAAAAATACAAGGACCACAATCCCTTACATTTTTTCTTAAGCCTGACAAAACATGAAACATAATTTCAAACTTTAGGTTAAAAAAAGATTGAAGATGTAATATAGTAATATTAACAATAATTATCCTGTTTTGTTCCCATTCTGTTTAACAACTTTGAAAAACAAAAAAAAATGTTTATTTATGTTTTGTTTTAATAGTACTTAAATAATGACTTATTGCACTATATAAGTACCTGGTCCTCAAGGTCAAGGGATGAATAAGTCAAACTTTTCCAATAATATCTTTTAAAGCATTCAATCTGTATCACCAACAGACAAAGTGCAATACTCTATCGATACATGGTTGTTTTACTCAGTTTGTTCTTTGTTGGGTTTATCGATCTGTGAAAGCCAGGATTATGTTGAGGTGGGTCTTCTTGTAGCTGGTGACTGCCTCAATGGACAATATATGGGAGACCAATCACATGCCATTTAGAGTGATGCGGTTCTATCAGACTCCTCCAGCTCACCATCAGTAATTTTCATTTTGCTATATCTGATATATATACTGACACGCAAAAGAAACACAACTGCTAAATGTTTGTAACAGTTGTACTTTTTCATTCAAATATGTCATTTATGTTTTTCAACTAATAAAAGATTAAAGACATGTCAAAGTTCAAGCAGGGGTAGTCATTAAAATGTTCACAAGTCTCTATAACAAGTATGTATCCTGTTTGCATTTGTTGTGGTTTGAATTCTGCGATGCATAGAATTTATCAAATGGTTTATTTGTGGCATAGGGATATTCTGCCATTCTTCCAGAAGTGCTTGGCACAAAGTGGGTATTGCCTCTGGTGGATTTGGGTGCATTCTAATGTGTCGATATCTAACATGTCCCACATTTTCTCTATTGGTGGAGGATCGGGACTGTAAGGGAGCCAAGGTAATATGTCTATGTTGTAACATGGCACCTTGGTATTGTCTTGTTGAAAGAGCAGGTTGTGTTGGTGAAGAAATGGTATGACGATAGGTTGCAATACAGTCTATGTATCGTTGAGCTGTCAAATTGCCATTGATGACTACCAAAGGGGTTTTGCCGCCACTACAAATGGCATCCCACACCAATAACACTACCACTGCCAAATCAAGTGCATTCCACCATGCAGTTTTCACTTTATCCTTCTCCACGATGTTGAAAAACACCCCGTGGTTCTGAGCAGTACTGTGTAAATCTCGACTCTTCAGAGAAGAGTGCACAGCGCCATCTTTGCATAGGAAACACATTTGAAAGGTGTCGTTGCAACCACTAGTCTGACGTCACGTGACATTTCAATAGCAACACAACAAGGTTTTATGCCAAATGAGCATTAGCACCTTAAAACAGTGTCACAACTTATTCTTGGATTCTGTGTGCATGGTGTCTTGTTTGCAGTTTTTTGTGCAGTTATGAAACAATTGTGGAAGTGCTGCAACCTCATGAAATGGTTCTTGCCTGGCATCGTAACCTTTGGTTGTACTTGTCAGTCTAAGGCAACTATAAATTCGACTTATTGTGCTTTCGTGGACATTCAGTACTCTTACTACAGCATTTAGAGTGTTTCCATCCAACAGTAGTAACTGCACTACCCTGTTGCATTCAGCATCAGTTAGCTTAGGTATTATTCACGTGTAGACAAATGATATTCAATATTGGATATTTCTTACCAGATATCTGGAGGATGACAAAGAGATAGAACACTCATAAAATGCTACCACGTTATTTGTGCACATGCAAATCGGAACATGTTTTGTGAACATGAGAACAGGTAGCATGACAAGAGTTCAATCAACCATGAATTTTAAAGGAAATGTGTAGCAGTGTTAAAATCACATACAATAATTCCAAATATAAATTGAAATATTGACATTTAATTCGGGTGTCAGTATATTTACATGCCTATACCACTGCTATCAAAACTTACAAACATTTTTTTTATCTATAACACAATGTCACGAAAAATGAACAGTAAAATTTCTTAAAATCTTTATTTTTGTGCACAATCTTCAAGTTTGCTTATTTTTCTATTAGGGGAGACATGTTTTTGTTGACATGAGCTTTCCCTTTCTTCATGCAACTTGGTTTGCAGTTCCATACATCTGGTTAAGAGACTGTCTTTAGAAGATGTTTCAATCTTGAAGATCCTACACATACGTCTTTATTAGGGATAATCTATGTATATAGATATGGGTATCAACATATAACACTTAAGGGGTTGATTGTCATCCAGGATATTGATGGTGACAGTTAAGGCAATCATCTTTGGTATGTCATTGTCCATTGGTACAGACAATCCCTCTCTGAATGATTATATACTGTAGCGATCTGTTTATGGTTCTAACCAATCATTTATTAAATGGTAAGTAGGCTGTACAAACTCCTCTTCAACATTGGGTGAATTGTTATTGATATTTTCTATATACCCATTCAACAACTCCTTTTCATATGAAGGTTCCTCTTGGTCCCTACTCCATTCAGGGACATATGGACTGACAGAAACAAAATGGTCAATATGAAGCCATCATGGTTTTAGACTTTTAGTTCATCATTGCTCTCTCAAGAGATCATTTTTGAAATTTCATACATAGATCAAATTTCAGGACTGAAAAACAAAATGGCTGACAGGCAGATGCATCATTCTCAAAGATATACATATATTTTTCCCTTAGTCACTAGTTGTGAATAACCAGTCTAAAGACTAATCCAAAATATGTACCGGCTGTTGTCTTGGATTTAGACTGTTAGTTTGTTATCGTTTGTGAAGAACTGAATGGACCAGTATCAAATTTCATATGTAGGTTCCCTTCAACTGTGCATAGCCAAATATGGGACTGATCAGAAAAATTGAAAGGTTGACAAATAGTCATCTTTGAGTTTGACAATTAAAGTCTGTTATTCCTATATCTTGAATAGTATTGGAAGATATGATGTGAGTGTATGATTTTAAGACTTATTGGAGAAACAAAATATCAGAAAGATGGTCATTCTAGATTTTGATGCTATTGCTATTTATATGCAAATAAATTTCATACAGAAGTTTTTGCCTTCTTGCTTATGTTCTTTTTAAAAATGATCAGCAATTCCAAAGACAAAACGACTGAGAAGTGGCCATCTTGGATTTGGACAATCAAAGCTCGTTATCAATATGTTTAGCTATTAAGTTCTTGATAGGTTGATGTTTCCAAATTTATAAAATTGCCTTTGGTTGGTAATATTGTTTGTTGACATTGTCTTGCTTATGTTGCTTCTGGTCTATGGCCAAAATTTAAATAAATGGTTTATTGAGAAGGTTACGGCAATGCTGATGACTGGTAGTTAAATCAAGCAAGATATATTGATGATATTCCTGTAGGTAAGATGCGCAAAATGGCAAAAATCAGAAATTTGATATTTTAGGCAGTTTTCTCCTATTTTCGGTGTTTTTCATATATTATGGTGTTTTTTTAAAGTGTAAGATATCATTGGTTTGGTTCACATGGGAGAATGAGTAATTTCATGTTTAATATTTTTTCTATCATCAAAAGTTGTTTGTTTGGTGGTTACATAGCTATAGAGGTAAGGAGTTGAAGTTCCATATTCTCTTGTATATGATGGATATTCTTATATTCAATGTGCTACTCTTGAATATAATTTGTATTCAGCATTATAGAATATCCCCTACATATATTAGCCTTGCAAAGACAAGTATTTAATTTCTGTATGCCTCAATGCTACCTGTTTTCAAAAATCAATATACAGAACTTCTAGACTTTGTATATCCATTATTTTTAAGATGCTTTATAAAGTGGTAGAGATCAGAGTTTGAGAAATGAACAATGTCTCTGAAAGCAGGGACGTAATAGAAGGGATATACAACCTACCTACACCTTTTAGAAAGGCTACAGCAAATGTAAGGCTACAGCAAATGTAAGGCTACAGCAAATAAAATTCAAGTTATTTTGACTTGTGTTCAACAACATTTTCTTTAAAACTTTGTAACTTATCTTTTCAAAACAGTAGTAGAAAGCTGAATAACATTCAAATTGAACAAGCTGAAAAATGTCTAACTTAACGTAATGTGCACAGTGTTTTTTTTGAGAAATTAAAGGTCAAATGTGGAATGTGCACACATTAAATATCTGTATTTTTTTTGGTGGAAAAATTAAAGGTATCTAATACTGTATAGGTATGAACAAAATAAACAGATTCTAAAACAATAGCTTTAAAAAGCGGAGTAGTTTTCGATATGGCACATGATTTATCTTAATGCATTTGTAATATCTTTGTAAAGAAAATGAGCTTCACTTCTCACTGAGTGACAAAATTGCTCTGGTCACTTAGTGCTACGTCAACTAACTACTGCCTAAAAGTGAAAGGGGTAATTTAGAATACCATTAAATTACAACTGTTAAAGGTTCTTTGATGACTTCATGACTCGATGAACAAACAAAATCTTACGCCAGATAAGACACCACTGCCCCTTATTTCAGTCTCTGTATCATCAGCCTCTCCTCAAAGTCAAAAACAGGCATAGGCATTACATTTATAACATTATGGGTGGTGAAAAACTAAAACAGAATTAATATTTGATTATTTATTGTAGACCTTTTTTTAAAAAAAGCATTGATGATGTTGAAAACATTGCAAAATATCAACCTATTTTATGGTAAGACATAGAAAATACATTCATACATTCACTAATGAATTCAAGAACCTATACAAATGCCTGAAGTAAAGTCTAATCCAATGATCAGAAATCACCAGTGATGATCAGAATATTGTTTTTTTTCCCACTGATGATGATGTATGAATTATGTTCAAGGTTAAACAATATATTGTTTTTCATGATGTTTTCCTAACATACTTCTGACTTCATGTAAGTCAACAATTTATGAATACAAGTAAAACTGCTTCTTTTATCATTTTTGGGTTATAAATACATGAAAATTTACGAAACACATCATTCAATAAATCTAACTTATCCATCTATTAAAGAAAATTCTTCATTTATTACAAAGTTCAATTGTGGAACTGACCAATATTCAGTAAAGATTGATCAAAGGAACAACACTACAATAAACTGAAAATTCTGCATCTAATAAATATACCACTGAAAGTCTTCAGTTTACAATGTGCGATATCAAATACTGAATTGAAATTCAGAAATTAAGTCTGATCCTTGAATACATTTATGTATCACTATGAATATATATTCATGAAAAGAGTGTAATGTTACCGCTTGACCTCTCCTTCTACATCAAACAAAATTTTAAAAAATTGTTATTATACGATTTTCGTAAATTTCATATCCTTGTATATAAAAAGATGTACATACAATGATTTTCTTTGAAAATCTTAATATTGCAGGGACCTCAGTTAAGTCAAAAGATGTGTAGTATACTGCAGAACCTTGCCTAGGTTATAAATCAATTGTAGTATGTAACTAATGCATTAGGAGAGATAGGCAGTACTCTGCTGATCCCAGTGATTTAAAACACCAATATACACCATACCAAACATTTATCCAAATCAAGTTATTGCCATACATAACAATACTTGACAATACATATATAATAACAAAAAAAAAAAATTTTTTTAATCAGTATCTGTATTTTGTGGAGTAATCTTTTGGAGACACAACCAGACCACGTCCCTTTCTAGCTCCACGGAATACTGTCTCCACAATGTCGATAAACTCTTGCACATCCTCCATAGACCAGTTAATCTTGTTGTTGTTTCCTGTGCCCAAGTCTATCATGATGTGTTTATTTCTATAAAAGAACATGATGGTACAAGGATCATACAACTCGTACATCTTGTTAAAGTCTGGCACCTTGGTAATGTCAACAAGATACACCACTGCAAAATTTTTCATCTTTTCAGCGCATTTGTACAGGGTCTCATCCATCACCATACATGAAGGATCCCAATCATGGCCAAATCTGATCACAACCACCCGGTCCTCTTCTGCTAAGATGGCCTGGTCCACTTGCCAGCCATTATGCAGATGTTGCAACATGTACGACATCTTTCTTGTTTTTCAGTCCAAATTCCTTAAATAATCAAAAAAAATATTTTCAAAATGAACCAGAATGAATTATACAAAGTTATATGGCACTAAATACTAAATATGGCAATAGCATACTGTAAAATCACATACATTCGTTGGGCTTCATTTTCATAATTTTGCAAAAAAAAAAAGCTTATCTTATAAATGCTTTGTGCACAGCAATAAAGATTGCATCATGGAGAACAAATGTAAGGTTTTGAACCAGCAGTGAAAGCTTTCAACTCATCTTTTAAACATTCTTGTACTTAACATGGAGCCACTTGTCACAGGTTTTACACATTAAACTCTCTGTATTGACAATTTGCTTAAGCAGCTGGTGTATAGATATCAAAGATCTTGGTTGCATGTGGGACATGTAGTTGGCTGGTGTGAAATAATTACATGTATATTCCAGATGAATATAACATATGAACACAATCAGAGTCAGTGACAACACAAATATCTGTCTATACAAAACCCATGTGCATTACATATTTCAATTGATTTAATACCATGGAAAAGAGCCACTTTCCACTTTACATACATCTAAATGATCAGAATGAACAATGCTTTAATTTGAGTATGACTGAATTTTGTTTGGTATCAATCCTAGTAATAAATAATAATCATAACTGATTACATTTATTACCATATTCCAATGAATAAAATTTGACAGCAGATAATTTTGAAGAAATGTGTAATCATGAGTAAATGGAATCAATATTGGTCGCATTGTAAATATCAAAGGAGAATGAAACTATCATCTGTTCCTTCCTTATCCCAATGTAAGGGAGATAAACACTACATACAGACAAATCCAATACGACAATGACATAAACTCAGCACAAATGTTGCAAATTTAGTGTTATCTATTATATTTTGATAAACCTGAAGAGTTTTGAGCAAGTTTTGAGTAGTTTTGTGTACACTTGCTTTCCAGCAATTTACCTTGACATCCAAACTGTGATTTCCCGCAAGGATGTGAAAAAGTACTCACAGTAAGACCCTCACCTACTTCCTTCCAAGCCAATTGAATCGATTAAATGGTTTTGGCTATGATTTTTCATAAAGTCAAATATATCAGCCTAAAATGATTTATGTAACAGAATTTAAAATAAACCAAAATCATGGACAAAACCATTTGATCAAAGCTTACAACTTGTTTTGCCATTGTTTTAAAGTTGACATGATATGGTGAGAAAAAAAACATTGTCTAATCTGATCAACTAAGAACGTACATTTTTGGTTTTGTGGTATAATACAAATATCAAAAGCATAAATCATATAAATCAACTTGGCCCAATGATCTAAGTGACTTTAAGAGTTATTTATCCTAATTAAGCCGTGGGATAGTCACTGTTGTTAATTAAGAAAGAACCGAATGGAAACAGAAGTCAGTGTGTCGAAACAACGTTTTAAAGTAACACAATATCTGAATGCCGTACTGCAGTAATATATTAAAGGTACCGAAACGTCTATGTCCTCTTAGTTAGGCATGGTAATGTCTAATGAAACATCTTGTAGGCCACCGAAACAGGTGTGTTATTATGATAAACCCATTGTTCCGGTTTGTGGAATCCCTTTTACGATTTCGTATAGTTAATGCTTCTATCAATATTTCGACAACATAACTATATTACCTTTCAAATTATCATGGGTACTCAAATTGACTAGCAGAAAGAACATTCGCAATCTCGTCGTTCTGTTGTTTCCTCGTCGATTAGGCTCTTGAAATAGAACGTTGGCACATTCTTGATATTCAAACGCCTGCATGATATCGACGTCCTTCCAGCAAAATGGCTGCCATGACCGTGGGTCAGGTCGCTCTCCTTGGAAGTAAGTTACTGGGTAACGCTAGTTTTAGTGAAATGCAACTATCATTTTCCTTTTATGTTTAACCGTTGACAAAATCATATCATGTAGATTAAAAATGGATGCATATCCGATCATTTTGTACATTTGTCAAAAACTCCGACCGTACACAACTTTGTCGGTAACGGGCGATTGTCATTCAGTCGCCGAAGAACAATATGCCGATACAGCTCTATCCATTATTCCGTATTCTTTTCCTAAATTGTAAGTAAGACATCATATGATGATAAGCGAAATAACTTAGAATAGTTTTAATGTAAACATATTGAACGACGAGAAACTTAATAATTCATAGATCATCATATAAATATGATTTCTGCTGTGAAATTGTTTTTAAAATAATTTATTGAACAGTTTCTATCCACAATCCATCATTGACATTTATTAAAACAAAGCATACTAATTATGTAATAGATGCTTATATAGAACGGTAAAACTTATAAATGAAAAACATATATGAATTGTGGGAGGATGCAGTGGAACTTTAACACATCCTCTCATCACAGAGGATAAAAAAAATTAAGTCCCCTGAACACAGATGAGAGACGTTGGGGGGTTACCCGTCTTCCATTAGGCTGTAATAGTGGACTCAAAAATTGTTAAATAAATAAAAGAAACATAGGTAAATGATAGCTCTCTTAGGCTTCCCTGTATTATTCTCCCATTTTCGTAATAACTTCCATTTAGCAAAACATCCAGCTAATAATCAAGATACCATGTAATTTTAATCCTGAGAGCAAATGTTTAGCTAAGCATGGACACTGTTTCAGTACGTACATAGTATCATCTGTATGTGTGTACTGTGACTCCCATAATTGTATAGAATGCATGCCTGTTATTATCATCATGCTTACAAACATGTCTTGATCTTTTAAAAGAAAAAGATTTTGAAAAAAGATATGTAGTTATTAAAGATATGAAATATTATTTATTACAGGGTTGCAGTTGCCTCGAGCTGTAGGTGGAGTGTACGTTGTCCAGAACAGACAGGCTAGTGACTTGGCCAATTACCGTCGAGGAAGAGGTGGAAGGTCCTCCTTTAGTGGACAAGTTGTCACAGTGTTTGGTGCAAATGGCTTCATAGGATCAAAGCTTATTAACAGATTTGGTATGATATTCTGCGGTTAAAAGAACAGTTATGATAAAGTTGTTTGTTCTTGCAAGATTTTTGAGAACTTTAAATTTGTGAATTTTAGAAATTTATTTGCATGATTTAAAGATTTCAAGGAATGCTGTTACTTTCATAATGTTTTGGCATTTACATTGTATTTACTGTTTGATCATTTTGTGAAGGTAAAAAAGGCAGTAAGATCATCGTACCATACAGGGGAGAACCGTACAGAGTCCAGCACCTTAAACTGGCATCAGATCTGGGGCAGATACAGTTCTTGGTAAGTATGCATTAATTGATTACCTGGACAGGTTATTAGTACAAGTGATCAGATCACTTAAACAGACAAAGTTCTTGGTTAGTACATGCGATCGAATCACTGGGACAGATACAGTTCTTGTTTAGTGTGTGTGGTCAGATCACTGGGACAGATATAATTCTTGGTTGGTATGTGTAATCACGCCTTTATGCATATCACATCAATTTTTTCACCTGTATTGAGATATAACATATAAAATTTCCACAATTTTATTACAACATAACCAAATACCCAAAATCTGATTGAACTACAGAGCTTTGTTTAACAGGACAAACACTGATGAAACTCTCAAATCTTATATTGTAATCGTTCATTCTCTGACATAGACTTGCTAATTTCAGCCATATCACTTGAAAGATGAAGACTCAATCCGAAAAGCCTTGCAGTACTCTGACACAGTCGTCAATGTCTTAAATAGAGACTACCCAACTAAGTAAGTGACCAGCTATCAGATTTAGCTTAAGATAGGTTTGAATATTTATGATGACCTGGTAAAACTTTTAGTTCTACCACATAAAGATGGGTATGATTCAACTTATAAGGCATCATTTAATCATTACAACTGTTTTATAAACAAATATTTATACCACATCTAGTGTTTGATTGACTAACATGATGAACTTTGACCAGACAAGTACTCCACATATCGATAACAAAACACGTGTGTAAAAAAGGGTCAATTTGGTGTCAGAATAGCTCTCTTATTTTGGTAGAAACAGGTAACACAAACCTGTGGTTGACATATTTGGAAAATATTTCCATATGTTTACTCATTTATGGAAAATTACAAAAATAACACTCCTTGAAGCTCTCTTGTTTTATAACTCTTTGAAAATAACTGGAATGAAATAAAAAATAATAATAAATAACAATCACTTTGTAGTCATGATCAAGGCAGTGACAAACTTCCTTGTCATGATCAAGTCTGTGACAACTTCCTAGTCATGATCAAGTCAGTGACAAACTTCCTAGTCATGATCAAGTCAGTGACAAACTTCCTAGTCAGTTACAAACTTCCTTGTCATGATCAAGTCTGTGACAACTTCCTAGTCATGATCAAGTCAGTGACAAACTTCCTTGTCATGATCAAGTCTGTGACAACTTCCTAGTCATGATCAAGTCAGTTACAAACTTCCTTGTCATGATCAAGTCTGTGACAACTTCCTAGTCATGATCAAGTCAGTGACAAACTTCCTAGTCATGATCAAGTCAGTGACAAACTTCCTAGTCAGTTACAAACTTCCTTGTCATGATCAAGTCTGTGACAACTTCCTAGTCATAATCAAGTCAGTTACAAACTTCCTTGTCATGATCAAGTCTGTGACAACTTCCTAGTCATGATCAAGTCAGTTACAAACTTCCTTGTCATGATCAAGTCAGTGACAAACTTCCTTGTCATGTTCAAGTCAGTTACAAACTTCCTTGTCATGATCAAGTCTGTGACAACTTCCTAGTCATGATCAAGTCAGTTACAAACTTCCTTGTCATGATCAAGTCAGTGACAAACTTCCTTGTCATGTTCAAGTCAGTTACAAACTTCCTTGTCATGATCAAGTCTGTGACAACTTCCTAGTCATGATCAAGGCAGTGACAAACTTCCTTGTCATGATCAAGTCTGTGACAACTTCCTAGTCATGATCAAGTCAGTGACAAACTTCCTAGTCAGTGACAAACTTCCTTGTCATGATCAAGTCAGTGACAAACTTCCTCGTCATGATCAAGTCAGTGACAAACTTCCTTGTCATGATCAAGTCAGTGACAAACTTCCTTGTCATGATCAAGTCAGTGACAAACTTCCTTGTCATGATCAAGTCAGTGACAAACTTCCTAGTCAGTGACAAACTTCCTTGTCATGATCAAGTCAGTGACAAACTTCCTAGTCAGTGACAAACTTCCTTGTCATGATCAAGTCAGTGACAAACTTCCTTGTCATGATCAAGTCTGTGACAAACTTCCTTGTCATGATCAAGTCAGTGACAAACTTCCTTGTCATGATCAAGTCTGTGACAAACTTCCTAGTCAGTGACAAACTTCCTTGTCATGATCAAGTCAGTGACAAACTTCCTTGTCATGATCAAGTCAGTGACAAACTTCCTAGTCATGATCAAGTCAGTGACAAACCTCCTAGTCATGATCAAGCCTAGTCATGATCAAGTCAGTGACAAACTTCCTTGTCATGATCAAGTCAGTGACAAACTTCCTTGTCATGATCAAGTCTGTGACAACTTCCTAGTCATGATCAAGTCAGTTACAAACTTCCTTGTCATGATCAAGTCTGTGACAACTTCCTAGTCATGATCAAGTCAGTGACAAACTTCCTAGTCATGATCAAGTCAGTGACAAACTTCCTAGTCAGTTACAAACTTCCTTGTCATGATCAAGTCTGTGACAACTTCCTAGTCATAATCAAGTCAGTGACAAACTTCCTAGTCATGATCAAGTCAGTTACAAACTTCCTTGTCATGATCAAGTCAGTGACAAACTTCCTTGTCATGTTCAAGTCAGTTACAAACTTACTTGTCATGATCAAGTCTGTGACAACTTCCTAGTCATGATCAAGTCAGTTACAAACTTCCTTGTCATGATCAAGTCAGTGACAAACTTCCTTGTCATGTTCAAGTCAGTTACAAACTTCCTTGTCATGATCAAGTCTGTGACAACTTCCTAGTCATGATCAAGGCAGTGACAAACTTCCTTGTCATGATCAAGTCTGTGACAACTTCCTAGTCATGATCAAGTCAGTGACAAACTTCCTAGTCAGTGACAAACTTCCTTGTCATGATCAAGTCAGTGACAAACTTCCTCGTCATGATCAAGTCAGTGACAAACTTTCTTGTCATGATCAAGTCAGTGACAAACTTCCTTGTCATGATCAAGTCAGTGACAAACTTCCTAGTCAGTGACAAACTTCCTTGTGATGATCAAGTCAGTGACAAACTTCCTAGTCAGTGACAAACTTCCTTGTCATGATCAAGTCAGTGACAGACTTCCTTGTCATGATCAAGTCTGTGACAAACTTCCTTGTCATGATCAAGTCAGTGACAGACTTCCTTGTCATGATCAAGTCTGTGACAAACTTCCTAGTCATGATCAAGGCAGTGACAAACTTCCTTGTCATGATCAAGTCTGACAACTTCCTAGTCATGATCAAGTCAGTGACAAACTTCCTAGTCAGTGACAAACTTCCTTGTCATGATCAAGTCAGTGACAAACTTCCTCGTCATGATCAAGTCAGTGACAAACTTCCTTGTCATGATCAAGTCAGTGACAAACTTCCTTGTCATGATCAAGTCAGTGACAAACTTCCTTGTCATGATCAATCAGTGACAAACTTCCTAGTCAGTTACAAACTTCCTTGTCATGATCAAGTCAGTGACAAACTTCCTTGTCATGATCAAGTCAGTGACAAACTTCCTTGTCATGATCAAGTCAGTGACAAACTTCCTAGTCAGTGACAAACTTCCTTGTCATGATCAAGTCAGTGACAGACTTCCTTGTCATGTTCAAGTCTGTGACAACTTTCTTGTCATGATCAAGTCAGTTACAAACTTCCTTGTCATGATCAAGTCAGTGACAAACTTCCTTGTCATGTTCAAGTCAGTGACAAACTTCCTTGTCATGATCAAGTCAGTGACAAACTTCCTTGTCATGATCAAGTCAGTGACAAACTTCCTAGTCATGATCAAGTCTGTGACAAACTTCCTTGTCATGATCAAGTCAGTGACAAACTTCCTTGTCATGATCAAGTCTGTGACAAACTTCCTTGTCATGATCAAGTCAGTGACAAACGTCCTTGTCATGATCAAGTCTGTGACAAACTTCCTTGTCATGATCAAGTCAGTGACAAACTTCCTTGTCATGATCAAGTCAGTGACAAACGTCCTTGTCATGATCAAGTCTGTGACAAACTTCCTTGTCATGATCAAGTCTGTGACAACTGCCTAGTCATGATCAAGTCTGTGACAAACTTCCTTGTCATGATCAAGTCAGTGACAAACTTCCTTGTCATGATCAAGTCTGTGACAAACTTCCTAGTCAGTGACAAACTTCCTTGTCAGTGACAAACTTCCTAGTCAGTGACAAACTTCCTTGTCATGATCAAGTCTGTGACAAACTTCCTAGTCAGTGACAAACTTCCTAGTCAGTGACAAACTTCCTTGTCATGATCAAGTCTGTGACAACTGCCTAGTCATGATCAAGTCTGTGACAAACTTCCTAGTCAGTGACAAACTTCCTTGTCATGATCAAGTCAGTGACAAACTTCCTTGTCATGATCAAGTCAGTGACAAACTTCCTTGTCATGTTCAAGTCAGTGACAAACTTCCTTGTCATGTTCAAGTCAGTGACAAACTTCCTTGTGATGATCAAGTCAGTGACAAACTTTCTTGTCATGATCAAGTCAGTGTGTTGAGACCATCAATTTCAAGGATGAAATGCTTGTGTTAATTGAATTGTACATTTTTTGCAAAAATTATAATGTTTACAAAACAAATACTATGAATTCAGTATTACATGGGCAGTAGTTTAAGATCCTAACAAACACTGGTATAATATATCATCAGAGCAATCTTGTTTGACATACCTCATTGAACAATATATCAGTCAGATTTGGTATATAGTTAATGTATTCATGAATTTCTTTAACACACAGGAACTTCAGTCTAGATGATTTACATGTCACAGGAGCACGAACAATTGCTCGACTATGTAAAGAAGAAGGTGTGTCAAATCTTGTACACTTTTCTCACCTAATGGCAAGTCCTGAACCAGAACAGCTGATTTCACCAGAAGGAACAGAATATTTCAAAGCAAAAGTAAGAAATATGATGCAATCTCTCCCACTTGATTGACTTTTTGACCTAATGGTGTTAACTGATATAACAAAGTATATGGGTTACTTATAAGGGTCAGTTATCAGTCCTAAATATAAAGTTATAATTGATATATTTTTGATGCAGTAACTTGAGTTTCCTTGAGTCAATGAACGTGGACATCATGAAGTGCTATCCTGTTATAAGTGCTTCCTTAGATGACTTTTAAAGTTTCAGAGTCAAAGTTACAAGGACTGATTGACAAGTTGTGAGCCTCATATAAAAGGGTTTGAATACTGGCTGACATATTGCATTATTTTTCAACATAATCCCCTTCAGTATCTACACACTTTTGCCACCAATATCTAAGGTCTTCATTCCACTTTGAGGAAGTCCTTTCCTTGACCATTCAGAAAGTTCTTCACTGCATATATGTCATCATCTGACTGAAAATAGGTACAGAAAATGGCCTTTTTCAATTTTGGAAATAGCTGAAAGTCTGATGGAGCGAGATCAGGCGAATAAGTCGGATGCTCAATCAATTCAAAGCCACGATTGTTGATGGCAGCCATGGCAATGACAGATTTGTGAACAGGGGCATAGTCCTGATAGAGTAACACACCTTTATTGAGTTTTCCGTGGTGCTTTAGTTTAATGTTTTCTCTTAACTGCCTAAAAAGTGATGCATAATAGGTGTCATTGATTGTTTGTTCCTTTTCATGATAATCTACCATCAGAATACCATCAGCATCCCAGAAAACTGAGGCCACAACCTTTCCAGCTGGTGGAACAGTCTTTGCCTTGTTTGGTGGGGGCGAACCAGGGTGTTTTCATAACTGTGTTGACCTCTGGGGTAAAATGATCGACCTATGTTTCATTTGTAGACACAAACCTCTGCAGAAAAATAACAGGATCTGCCTCCTAAAGGTTAAGATTAGCAGTCAGAAGTCTTGGTACCAAAAGTGCTGAGAGCTTTTTTATTGCAAGATCTTCCGTAAGAATGGAATGTATTGTTTCCTGTGAAATCCCAACAGTACTGGCTATATATCTCCGTGTAACTCGCCTGTCAGCTATAACAATATCATTGACTTTATTGACTTATTCCCTAGTGTTGCTACCATATCAGTGTGGATATCCTTAGGTGCTAGGCCTTTCTTACACAAATATTGGAATAACTGCTCTTTCAGCGATTTTGTTCATTTTGCAAAAGTCACTAGCCTTATTTACTTTTAGAGTTTTTTTTTACATAAACTGACCGAATGACTCCAGACTTTGGGTACACAGTCTTAAATAATCATGGAATAGTAGAGCTGAAAATGGACACCCTTGTATAACTTCTTCAATACAAGGCTCACAACTTACCAATCAGCCCTCATACCTAATATGTTGATAAATGCAAAGGCTATACACCTGCTCTCATAATATTCTTGATTTATTGCGCATGTGGAGATTTAATTGGAAAAAATTCTCTGTTATATTATTAGTGGAAATTTTGTGGATTGTATGTTCTTTACAGGATAATTTGTTTATTATTCATTGTTCAGAAAAGACTTAGTGATGGCTTAAAAAGCATACAAGGATCAGCTGAATTTATTTTGACATCACTATGTCTGTGCATTTTGTACTGCTATGACATAAGAGGCTGCTGGTTGGAATTTTCAGAGTACAAGTAATGGAGCATTTTATAATTACATAAATGTCATTGTTTGTCCAGTATAAAGCTATTGAATAAAAGTACTGGTATATGTATGGGATTGGTTCACAAAATTTCTTTAGGTTTTTTGGAAGCCTTCCTTGAAATAAGAAATTTATATTGATTTTTTAGTATTTTGGGGAACTTGCTGTACGAGAAGAATTTCCAGAGGCCATTGTATTTCGGCCATCACTCATGTATGGTAGTGGTGACCGTTTCATGAATAAATATTTTCATATTGGTAAGTATTGAAAAAAAAATTATATATTGAAATATAAAAAAAAAAAATAAAATCATTAGTATAGAGTTACATAGCCTGAGTGTCCCAGTATTTTATAATGTAGCTCTTTTATTATCGAGTGATCAATTTTAATGTCATATTTAAGGTAAGCCTTTAATGTTATGTTATGTTGATAGATTATAAGAAAAGATATGAATGTAGGAGATAATTACATTATTACCTAGTAGATTATAGTATCAGTGATAATCTAGCAAGTATGTAATTTTTGTGGCTTTATGCAGATTAATATGTTATTGAAGTGTATTTATTTTTTGTATTATTTTCTCATATGAATATACATGTATTTAGGGTGTGCCATTTCAGTCATATGTTCAATCTGTTCAGATGCTGATGTTACAAACAAGACTTGTATGCCTAATACATAGATACATATCAGTGTTTATTAGGTAATTTAATAAACAATTGTTTCTATTGAAAACAGGTCAGGGCAAAAAAACATTTTTTACCGTAAAATTTTGGAAGGGAGGAAAATCAACAACCAAGATGCCACTCTTCGTAAGTTTACAATTAACAGAATACAGGGTTTTCCATAGGAGCCGGTCGCCGGCCAATTTGACCGTCTACTTTGATCATTTGGCCGCCTACACCAATCCAGTTTTGTAATAATGTTCCGTACACGACTACACGTACACGGCAGGCCAGCCTCCTACTATCACTTCACAGCCTACTACTAACACAATTATGGAAAACCCTGAGAATAACTGTAGTCTTATGAAATCCATAGGTCAGATAATGTGCCACTATCTTATTTACATATTGCTAGCTCCTAGACCAGGATGTTTGTATTTTCATATGATAAATGATCCAGGGCTTTACTAATGTTATATCTAACTTATAACTGACCTTGAATCTTAATTACTGTTGTATATTGATGATATCTGACCTTTGATTGAGTCTTACAATTTGTTCAAGGTAATCTGAGAGGCTTCGTGTCTCTCCTTTACATGTCGTGAATAAACTTTTTCTCATAAACTGTCAGATTTTGATGAAAATAATGTTTGATTGATGGTGAGATACAGACCAAAGAATTAAGGGTCCCACCATTTAGGAGGCCATGGGAGGTCATTGAGTGCATAACTTATCACCTTCTCTCCAGAAAATGGTTCCCAACTGAACTTTGTGGAAATACTTGACCAGATAGGATAAGAATCTTGATAAGAGACAAGCCTATAGAAGGTCATTGGGTGCGACATCATGTTTTTGTTTTTGAGAAAGTTACCAATTTGATGATACATTTTAATAATCAGCTAGCTTTGAAGATCAGAATATCTTCAGTAGAAGTAGCTTGCTTCACAGGAAGCAAATAAGTTGGGTCACAAGAGGCCATTTTGTGAAAAATACAAAATATTATCTTTTGTATCTCTGTTGTGGGTTTCATTTCTGATGTGTGGTAAGGCCCATCATTTTCTGATATCACAGCCTATTACCATGTAAGTTTGATTGTGTCTACTACCACTGTTCATTTATATGTACAGTGCAGACTGTAGGGCTAGGATTTTATGCATGTGATCATATTTTACATACCTATAGCTGGTATATGACCCTTGTATGCTGTGTGTTTCAGGGTTCTGACATGGTAGATGGAGTTATGGCTGCACTAGCAGATCCAGACTGCAGAGGGCAGACATATGAAGCTGTTGGGTAAGTTCACACACCAATGATATCAAGTGTTTTTCAAACAGTTTCATGTTATTAAGGTAGAGGACAGATCTGACTGAAGGATATTATAACAGCCCACCTACACAGATGGAATGTTTTGTTAGAGGTTGTGTTGAACCACAGGTTTGAAACATTCAGGTGAAGTGTTAGAGAGTGTGTAAGGCTTCAGGTTATAATACGAGTTGATGGAAGCTGGGTTTTCGTTTGTTACCATTGTCTCATATTTGATATAAATAGACACAAACTGAAACATTAAAGTGACATATGGTGAATAATTGTTCAATATATCCTCACTTCAAGGATTTAATTTGGATGCCAAGAATTACTTCAAAGTGAGTTGCTGCTTTGAAACTTGGTTCTACATAGATATATAATTTTAATGCACTTTGAGACAATACAACCCTCAATGAGAATTCGGGGGATTATTGCAGTCTGGATTCATTGAAACTTTATATCTGGTTCTTGTGATATATTATCATCCATTGACATTTAGAAATGTCAGCCTCTTTATATGAGGTTCAACATTAAAAGAAAGCTGGTTATAGTCAACACCACAATTTCCTAATCACATAATGCATAAATTACATTGCATCCATGACCTCAATGCATAATTCTTTTTCTTTTTTGTTGATAGCCCTGAGAGCTACTTCATGCACGATCTTATCATGTTCTTCTACTTGTGTATGAGGAGGCCAATAGCAGGAGTGGAGGACTACGATCGCACATCCCTGTAAGTCATGTCTTCATGAGTTGTGTACATTTCCTACAAATATTGCTCAGTCTGAAGATGGTTATAGAAGTTGAGTTGTGGCATCCCCATTTACAGGACTGCTTTGCTATTTTCAGTTTAACTGTTATTCATGTCACCTGTTGAATGACCACTTGGAAATTCTTAGTCAGCAGTGTATAAGAGTAGAAATCATATCCTAGGTTTGTGTGCAATCTAACACAAACATCTGCTCTTTCATTTTCAATCAAGTTTTACACCCAAATAAATCCACTTTGAAAAATAGTCCTGTAGCAGTACATGTTGGTTTACTGTTTTTGTTTTTTCTTTAAATTTTTTCAGATTGAAGATGAAATATGTGGACCCTTATAATCCTTTGAGCAAGTACAAATTACAGAATTTGCACGTACTTGGACAGGTATATATCTCTCTATGACCTCTTTTATTGTTGATGCTAGCGTTATCTGTTAACAAGTATGAAACCTTTTACTCTTGATGCTAGCATTACCTGTTAACAAGTATGAAACCTTTCATGAGATTTTTAGGTCACCTGAGACAAAGCCTGAGTGTATAGCTAGGCCTTGAGATTTTTAGGTCACCTGAGACAAAGCCTGAGTGTATAGCTAGGCCTTGAGATTTTTAGGTCACCTGAGACAAAGCCTTGGTGTATAGCTAGGCCTTGAGATTTTTAGGTCACCTGAGACAAAGCCTGGGTGTATAGCTAGGCCTTGCAGTGTACATTATGTACAACTTAAATCTAGACAAAACCAAATTGGAATTACTTTGGTCCAGTTTGGGTGATATAGAAGACTTTGACAGATTTTGTGATCTAGAAAGAACTATTGAATAATTTTCTGTTTGTCCAATTTTGGTAATTACCTTCAATAAACTTTGTTACTTAATTTAAAAAAGAAAAAAAGGACTTTTGTTAGTTTTATTTCATTGATGTGTTTTCCCATCATGGAGAATGTAATTTTAATGAGACTAAGCTGGGATGACAATATAAAAAATCTGAGTAGAATTCTTGTTTTCTATTTGACCTTGGCCTTAGATATTGGAAGGGTATTTGGTATGTATCAATCTGGTTACCTGTATTAAACATGGCATAAAATAGATGTATCACCATTCTCATATCTGTAAGATACATTATGTACATAATGACTTCAAATGTCATGATGAGACATGACAGTGCTCATCAAATAGGGAACACTGTGACATATTTATAACCTTTTGACCTTGACCTGGTGTTGCAATCAAAAGTGTGAACTCTAACAATTGTTTATCATTTTGACCTTCACCTTGCATTGCCATAGTGGAACAGTTGCAACCGCTTTTTAACCTTTTGACATAGATCTGATTTTTCTAAGGCAATATTTCAGCTATAAAGCATACTAACATATGATTTTCACACTCTCACAAACCCTTTTGACCTTTCATCTTAGAAATAAAAGCAGGGGCTGGGATGTTTTTATTGCATCACTGCTTCTTTCACAGGAATCATTTTCAAACTTAGAATGGAGATGAGAATTACTGGTAAAGATGCTGTGTGTTACATCAGATTGGAATATTATCACTCCAGCATGGCTTTCCTAAATGTTTATATAGATGTATTTCTATTTTTTGTAAAGGAGTGTGTTACAGAGAAGACAACAGGTCTACCAACACTGGAGGACCTTGGAGTTAAGCGAACTTGTATCCTGGACCGTGCACGTTATGAGTTCAAGAAGGTACGTGCTGATGTTTATTATGATGAGGAATTGGGCCAATTTGCTGATAGTGGCGACCCTCCAACTGCTGCCCAGGTGAGAGAAAAGCTCATGCTGCAACAGGAAGCAGCAAAGTCTCAACGAATCTAGAAAAGTGGTTTTAACACCAGATATGCGATATGTCAGGAACAAGGACAAAAAAAAAGAAAAAAAAAACCTTGTGATAAAAATAGAGCAACAGGATTCCTGTGGAAATGATTTCATCATTTCAAAATCAGAGTGTATTTGTGGAGCATCATGTTTGAGTGAAACTGTTGTAAAGTTGTAATAAATATTTATAAAAGGAATATTGTTGCTTTTTTTAAAAATGTTTTACAGATCACATGACTTTCAATGAAAGTGTGTACAGGTATCTTTAATCATGACTAACGTAACACCACTGTAAACCTAGTAAATACTAGTTACATTATATGGCTTAGCTAGAGAGAACTTCTCTTTAGTTTGATCAGTTCAGTGTCAGACTTGAAGGGTAAGCCAGAGGTCCTAGCTTTGAATCTTAGCCAAGACATTGATATAATGACATCTGTTACATATACCGGTACATGGATTACAAATGGGCTAAAGATTAATTAAGTTTCAAATAAAATTTATTTGAACATCTGTCACTACAAGAGGATATCCGATTGGTCATTTTGGTCAGTGACAGATTAAATACAGTTGATTTCCGTATTGTATCTATATTCAATCTGACCACATGCATGTATATCATAAATGTGGTGTCTGTCAGCACAGTTTCCCTCATGCAAGATATACCTCATACTATATTTTTTTTTACCATAAGATTGCTTTTTGAACACTGTTTCTATTATTCTGTTTCCTACTCTATTATTCTGTTTCCTACTCTATTATTCTGTTCCCTACTCTATTATTCTGTTCCCTACTCTATTATTCTGTTTCCTACTCTATTATTCTGTTCCCTACTCTATTATTCTGTTCCCTACTCTATTATTCTGTTCCCTACTCTACTATTCTGTTTCCTACTCTATTATTCTGTTCCCTACTCTTCAATGGCAAAAATAAAGATGACGTGGCCAAAATAAGATATTTTGGTTTTGACACCAAATCATGAAATTTGCATGTGGAAAAGTAAACCCTTTATCAATTATAGGACCATGGAAAATACAAAGATTGGATCAGGTAGAATTGCCTGCTGGTATGACAATTAATTGTGTATTGTTGCAGTCTCTTATGGCTGATATGGTATATACAGTGGCATTTTTTGGTTTAAAAAAAAAATACCATGACAACTACAAGATGATGTGAAGAAAATTCCAGAATTTTATTATTACATATAAAATACAGTTATTGACGTTCAGATATTTAAGGAATGTTTTCCACATCAAACTAAGGATTACAATAGAACTTAAGTCTGGATTACAGTTGTACCAAACAAATTACAAAAAAACAGTGTAAAAAGCAATTCTGTTCTGCAAAGGTTCGAATCTGTTGTAAAATCTTTTATCAGAATTCCAATTCAAATGTTGATATTAGGTTTTAAATAATTACTTTTGTGCAAGTATTTTTAGAATTCTTTCAACTTAGTAGGAAAATAAATTGTTTGGACCAGTTTCTTACCTCGTTCATTAAAAAAAAGTTATAAGGTAAGTTTCATACAATTATAATTTTTTAACAAAGTACATAAATTATGAACGAAAGATTATTGTTTTGTACAAATGGTACAAAAATAGTAAAGTACAGAAGACATGATGAAGACAAATGTTATGAAATTATAAGTACATTTGAAGTACTGTACAGGACTAATATACACATGATAGATTTCTCTTCTGTCTTATCAATACTGTTGAGAAATTTTATTGTCTTTTTTTTAAGCAAACTTTACTATGTACTTGGTATAATCGGCAAGGTTTGTGGCCCCTGAACTAGACAAATGTTTACCAGCTAGTGAAATTGAGAAATCTGACAGTGGTCTCTTCTGTTATATTTACAACATGTGGGCTTCCTGGAGAATGTGTTTCTATACCCAAGTCCATTACAGGATAAAGTTTTAACCACAGCAGTTTTCGTCGTCACTTGGTTAAAGTTGAAGTAGGCCCAATATTTTGATTTATCTTATGACAATTCTTTAAATTGGTAGAGACAATGATTTAAAAACACATCAAAAACTTGGATTAGTGTGCAAGTATAAGACGGCATTTATGAATTAGGGATTAAGGATGATGAAATATCAAAACCATGCAGATTTGGTTGGCTACCTTGCTCTTCAAAGCTTTGTATAGTGTACTACATGTTTCCTGATCAACTAAAACAACAGTAGAAAAGTAGACAAATGTATCAAAGGTTTAAGAGATAGATTATGTGACCAGGATAAAATATCTATAGATAGGTACATGTGACCAGGATAAAATATCTATAGATAGGTACATGTGACCAGGATAAAATATCTATAGATAGGTACATGTGACCAGGATAAAATATCTATAGATAGGTACATGTGACCAGGATAAAATATCTATAGATAGGTACATGTGACCAGGATAAAATATCTATAGATAGGCACATGTGACCAGGATAAAATATCTATATATAGGTACATGTAACCAGGATAAAATATCTATAGATAGGTACATGTGACCAGGATAAAATATCTATAGATAGGTACATGTGACCAGGATAAAATATCTATAGATAGGTACATGTGACCAGGATAAAATATCTATAGATAGGTACATGTGACCAGGATAAAATATCTATAGATAGGTACATGTGACCAGGATAAAATATCTATAGATAGGTACATGTGAACAGGATAAAATATCTATAGATAGGTACATATAATATCATATCATGATTGTAGGTACTAATATCAAACTGTAGATAATACTTGAAGTAATAAAAAATGTGAATGTGAGAAAAATTTCAGAATGAACAGCATGGTTTCAACAAGAATTGCTTGGAAACTTAAAAAATTAAAAAATTGAAAGACATTCAAATATTATCTTATAAGTTCCCAGACAGACACTGCATAACTCTGAAACAATTAAGTTTATGTAAAAATATTTGCTTGAAATAGTTCTGTAAACTTAGTAGGTAGGCATGTACGGATATTTAGTACAGAAATTCTGACATTCAAAAATGTAAATGTTACACTGCAGTGCTGCAGAATCAACAGAAAAATATCAAATGCAACACAATATAAATAGAAAATAATATTTTGTGTGTTAAATGAGTATTAAAAGCTGGTCAGGTCTAGAGCATTGGGGCTGTATTGGTAAATGAGTATTAAAAGCTGGTCAGGTCTAGAGCATTGGGGCTGCATCGGTAAATGAGTATTAAAAGCTGGTCAGGTCTAGAGCATTGGGGCTGTATTGGTAAATGAGTATTAAAAGCTGGTCAGGTCTAGAGCATTGGGGCTGCATCGGTAAATGAGTATTAAAAGCTGGTCAGGTCTAGAGCATTGGGGGCTGTATCGGTAAATGAGTATTAAAAGCTGGTCAGGTCTAGAGCATTAGGGCTGCATCGGTAAATGAGTATTAAAAGCTGGTCAGGTCTAGAGCATTAGGGCTGCATCGGTAAATGAGTATTAAAAGCTGGTCAGGTCTAGAGCATTGGGGGCTGTATCGGTAAATGAGTATTAAAAGCTGGTCAGGTCTAGAGCATTGGGGGCTGTATCGGTAAATGAGTATTAAAAGCTGGTCAGGTCTAGAGCATTAGGGCTGCATCGGTAAATGAGTATTAAAAGCTGTTCAGGTCTAGAGCATTAGGGACTGTATCGGTAAATGTGTATTAAAATCTGTTCAGGTCTAGAGCATTGGGGACTGTATCGGTAAATGTGTATTAAAAGCTGGTCAGGTCTAGAGCATTGGGGCTGTATTGGTAAATGAGTATTAAAATCTGGTCAGGTCTAGAGCATTGGGGGCTGTATCGGTAAATGAGTATTAAAAGCTGGTCAGGACTAGAGCATTGGGGGCTGTATCGGTAAATGTGTATTAAAATGAGGTCTAGAGCATTAAACTGTATCGGTAAATGTGTATTAAAATCAGGTCTAGAGCATTGGGGCTGTATCGGTAAATGTGTATTAAAAGCTGGTCAGGTCTAGAGCATTGGGGCTGTATTGGTAAATGAGTATTAAAAGCTGGTCAGGTCTAGAGCATTGGGGGCTGTATCGGTAAATGAATATTAAAATCTGTTCAGGTCTAGAGCATTAGGGGCTGTATCAGTAAATGAGTATTAAAATCTGTTCTGGTCTAGAGCATTAGGGGCTGTATCGGTAAATGAGTATTAAAAGCTGGTCAGGTCTAGAGCATTGGGGGCTGTATTGGTAAATGAGTATTAAAAGCTGGTCAGGTCTAGAGCATTGGGGGCTGTATCGGTAAATGAGTATTAAAAGCTGGTCAGGTCTAGAGCATTGGGGGCTGTATCGGTAAATGAGTATTAAAAGCTGGTCAGGTCTAGAGCATTGGGGCTGTATTGGTAAATGAGTATTAAAAGCTGGTCAGGTCTAGAGCATTGGGGGCTGTATCGGTAAATGAGTATTAAAAGCTGTTCAGGTCTAGAGCATTAGGGCTGCATCGGTAAATGAGTATTAAAAGCTGTTCAGGTCTAGAGCATTAGGGCTGCATCGGTAAATGAGTATTAAAAGCTGTTCAGGTCTAGAGCATTAGGGCTGTATCGGTAAATGTGTATTAAAATCTGGTTCAGGTCTAGAGCATTGGGGCTGTATCGGTAAATGTGTATTAAAATCTGTTCAGGTCTAGAGCATTGGGGACCGTATCGGTAAATGTGTATTAAAATCTGTTCAGGTCTAGAGCATTGGGGGTAAATGTGTATTAAAATCTGTTCAGGTCTAGAGCATTAGGGACTGTATCGGTAAATGTGTATTAAAAGCTGTTCAGGTCTAGAGCATTAGGGGCTGTATCGGTAAATGTGTATTAAAATCTGTTCAGGTCTAGAGCATTAGGGACTGTATCGGTAAATGTGTATTAAAATCTGTTCAGGTCTAGAGCATTAGGGACTGTATCGGTAAATGTGTATTAAAATCTGTTCAGGTCTAGAGCATTAGGGACTGTATCGGTAAATGTGTATTAAAATCTGTTCAGGTCTAGAGCATTAGGGACTGTATCGGTAAATGTGTATTAAAATCTGTTCAGGTCTAGAGCATTAGGGACTGTATCGGTAAATGTGTATTAAAATCTGTTCAGGTCTAGAGCATTAGGGACTGTATCGGTAAATGTGTATTAAAAGCTGTTCAGGTCTAGAGCATTAGGGGCTGTATCGGTAAATGTGTATTAAAATCTGTTCAGGTCTAGAGCATTAGGGGCTGTATCGGTAAATGTGTATTAAAATCTGTTCAGGTCTAGAGCATTGGGGCTGTATTGGTAAATGTGTATTAAAATCTGTTCAGGTCTAGAGCATTAGGGACTGTATCGGTAAATGTGTATTAAAATCTGTTCAGGTCTAGAGCATTAGGGGCTGTATCGGTAAATGAGTATTAAAAGCTGTTCAGGCCTACAGCATTGGGGGCTGTATCGGTCGTGGTGTATCCTGATCAAAGTGAGGCCATGTTTTGATGATATTGTACAGGAAATCTCCGGGGGACTCTGTTGCTTTAGCGTCCCGGTGACCATACAGCTTATAGTCAGGTTCCAGTTTGCCAGAAACCACTCCACATTCGAGTTGAGCCTGTATGGCATCCAACATTTTTTGGTCTGGAGTTTGGAGCATGAAGTTTCCCATAGCACCAATGGAGATTGCTATTTTGTTGAAACCTTTGGTATGTGCACCAACACGATCCCACCCCCGTGCCTGGTAAATCCTTCCGTCTTCACCAGCCAGGAAATTGTACCCAATGTCGTCCCATTTTAACACGTCTTTGTGGAGCTCCTCGACCTTCCGCACTGCCTCCTTACATTCATAGCCGGTTGTGCAGTGACTGAGAACAGTGTGATGAATGAAGACAATGCTTACTTTCTTTCCCATGTTTTCATATGATGTTGGTGTCCTGCCTCCCCACTGGGCTCTGCTGACATAGCCAAGGTTGCTACAATTCACTGTGTCTGCAACAAAATAGGTTGTTCAACATTTCTTTATTGTGACTTACTTTTAATCAGTTCTTCCAGATTTAATCGGCAATAAGCCCATGTTTGGTAATCAGCCAACACAATGAGTTTCAGGACTGAATGCTTTATCATTGTTCTATAATACCTGTAAGTTCTGTTTTTTTATTCTTTTTTTTTTCATATGAAAGATATTGTGGTCTTGTACAATAGTTTAGCTGTAGGTTGATTAGCAATAACTGCATTATAGAAATTGTCAACTTTCCTACTGTAGCAATAATGGACACAGAACAGAAGACTGCTGCATCTCAGTTACATACTTAATGTTAGGACATGCAGATTGGAAACTTACGATCCCATCCAGTTTCATCTTTCAGATTTACTTCATCTGTATTCCAATACCTGTTAATCAAAAAAAAAAAAACAAAAAAATCATTGAAGATGTTGTATTTACAGCATTTTCTCCATTGAGTTGGAAATGTGCAAGAAAGCTTCAGTAAACAAACCTCATACTTCCAATGGAGGATGGGATAAAATAAAAAAAAATAGAAGTATCATATTGAATATTTAACACCCTTGGTTTGCAGAGATGTAACTTGAAATTTAGATAAATGAATATTTTGGAAAACATTTCTGTGCATTTTGACACTAATATGACCTGTAAGTAGTAGGATGCTGAATTCTAAAGTGGTACTGGTTAAAATATTTTTGTTTTTATTTTCCAAACTAAATTTCAAAAAAAGTTTTCTACAGAGTCCACTGCTTTTGGACATGGTAGAAGGGAAAACATTTTGCTTTTTCCATAAAATCAAATTCCAAGCCAAAAGCATAGAAAGCATGTTGAAAACTTTATCTCAAATTATGTATAATTTTTCCCTGTGAAATCTACATTATACCCAGACCATCATTCATTTCCCCCTATATACACAAATATTGGACGATACCTACGTGAAATCCGGTACAGCAGGACCTTCACAGCCGAAACCAGATTCTAAACATCCAGAAAAGTCCTTGGGATCTCCTAGACAGGCGATCAGACCTTGGAAGTGGATTCAAAATACTTAGTAAAAGCATACAGTAATCTTATGTCTCATAGAATCCAAATATATCACATATAATGTATCACATATAACATCATGATAAGAAAAAAAAACACCTACGTACTTATACAAAAGATTTGAAATATGGGTTGTTATAAAAAGAAAATACAAAGTTATTAACAAATCTTAATCAGACTCAAAATCAATCAAAATACGGACAAAATATGAAGTATTTTAGCAGAGACTTGTTTTTATAATATAGACTAACCATTACATTGTTCTGTATAATGATAATGTAGAAATACTATTTTTATCTATAATGTCTAATTGATGGAATATTTTACTGATATTGATAACCATCTTAATCGTACAATTTCTTGAATTTCAATGTTGTTTTATATGTTATGTCTTGTATTGAAAACCATGTAAGCATTTGATAAACTGGTCGAGGATGTGAGAACCTGCATTTTCTCATCCTGGAACCTCTAGACGTTATGGTTACTTACGATGTTTTTGTCTTACTAACAGTATTGTATAAATCAGAAAATGTCTGCCCATATAACTTCTCAGATCAATTTTATCCGTTTATATAATACGCATTTAACAGAATAACATCTGTTTTACATGTATCAAGATTGACCCCAAATAACTTGAAATAGAAAGCAACATTATCCCATATTTGAAAATTCTTCATTTTATGCATTTTCCTGTCAGATTTGCATGGTAATAGTAAGCTTATAATACATACAGCCTAGTCGTTTAATTGTTACTTCAATGTTTATCTTATATTATACTTACAAATAAGAGAAATACCAGTTTAAATGATTAATAGAAAATGTAATTTGTGACTTGACTAACAAGGCCTTTGTTGCCTGGACATGTTTGATGATTGTTTGCCTGTTGGTTCTGTTGTTGTATGCCTTCTATTCATTTTAGAACCTTGGTATTACTGTTGGCAATGAAGCGGAATGTGCTTACTCTTCTGTAACACCTGGTCTTATTCTACTTTTTTAAGTAGTCTCCATTTAAATCTTTCTTTGGTTCATATGTTGCCCTAGTTTTAATGAGTTTGGATTATGTTGACATGTTGATATTTTCTTGATGTTTTTACCAATAACATAAACAGTGACCATCTGTTCTTCAGCCTCCTGAGAAACAAAAACTGCCACAGGTATTGACAAAAATGTTAATAATATTAATGTAAAGATGACACCAGCACAATACAGGGGCCACATGTACATTATAGACACAACTTTTTTAGTGCAAAACTAAGGTTTTTAATTATTTATTTATTTAGTGAAATTTGAAGGTATTTATTTTCAATGTGAAAGTGACAAAAAAACATGTCAACAGAGTATCTTAATTATATGTATAGAAACAGTATCTTTATACAACAAAGGTCTTAATTATATGTACTGTGAAAATATCTTTTTTTTTTAATTTTTTTTTTTTATTTTTTATTTTTGAAAGTTTTCAAATATAATACATATATAAACATATTATCATAAACTTTCGCATAAACTTACATACACTTACATAGTGTTGTGCAGGTGATTACCTAATTATAATCAATGTCTAAACAGGAAACACAACCTATTATAACTAATCAATTATGAAATTTCAACCTTGATGATCGGTTTCAAAATAATAACCAGTGATGTTAGGTTTACTGTTAATATCCGATCATCGATGATGGAATCTCAAAACTGATTCCCTATACTACACTCACAAGGACATACACACACAGATGCTCACATACCATTCGCTCATCAGACAAATAGACAAACAAGACAGACAGAATAGGAAAGGGTAGAAAAAAGGAAAGAGGAAGGAGGGTAGAGAGGAGGAGGTACTGTTTTCTTCATACACACACACACATATATATTGTATAATGTATTCTACATGTAAATAAAGAATATTTAAATTATAACAGCAAATCAAGAGTCGTCGGCGGAGTTAGCGTTATGATTGATAATTACAACAAAATAAATATACACGTACAGAGATAATTAGAGCCAGTGAAATAATATCAAGGTTAAGAACTTATAAGTCTAATAAGGGCTTCCATTTTCTCCAACCTAATTCAAATTGCATTTTAATATGATTCTTTTGACTATTATTTATATATTTTTGAACTACAAAATTATCTTTAATTACATTAATGAGAGCATTTATATTCAAAGAGTTACTAATACATCTGGTTTTATATATATAGTGTTTTATAATGATAAGAATTTCATTGTCAACTGAGTTACATTGTTGTGAAACTATTCCAAAAAGAAATGACTCCTTATTATATGCAAACGGTATTAAAAGTAGATCTAATAGAGTTTCAAATTTCTGAAGTAGAGTTTGCACCTCCCTACATTCCCATAAGCAATGCGTAATTGTCTCTATTTCCATATTACATAAAGTACACATAGGGCTAAGGGTTTATCTTTATTTCATGAAGAAAAGAATTTGTCACTAAGATCTGATGAATAATTCTGACCTGCAACCTATTAATTTAGGAATTTTGGTGAATGTAAAGGGAAGATTATATACGTTTGACCACTTTTCAAAATCAACTGCAAATTCCATTTTTTAAAATCAACTGCAAATTCCATTTTTTGGTGCCAGTAGGCATAGTCGCTGGAATTATGAAAAATATGTGAAAATATCTTTATGCAATGTCTTACTCTTAACGAAATGTAATCTGAAAGTATTTTAATGCAAACAATGTCTTACTAGAATTATCTGTATAGATTTTCTATAACGTAAAAATGTCTATTAACAAGCATCAAATTGTCTTAACTATAGACATGTATATCTAATGTGGAAGTATATATATAAACAATGTTTGAAAGTAAATTCCAGTAACAGTCATCATCTTCCCTGCTGACTTCGTCTCAACGATATGAAATAAAGAAGTATAAAATTTTCCTTGTAGCATGTTATGTAAAGATATCGTTTGCTGTTATTGTCACAGGTATGTGTATAAGTGTATTGACAGACAAGGCTAATTACATTGAATCTGTACACATACATAATGGTACAAGACTTACCTAGGATGCAAAAGAAGAGAGTAACTTTAAAACTATTCTTCATTCCGTACATAGCTGTCGTTTTTGGTCCCTCTTGTAACGAGTTTGTAGACAACTATTTGGAACACCTGTACCGTATTCTTAGGCATGTTCCGTACACATATATAGATTACAAACAGAAAGTAGGATTTTCCGCATCTCTTTTATCATATACCTACGTGTCACTAATTTAGTGATCCCAGCTTAGCTAAAAATAGCTCTGACTTCAAATCTCGTTACTAATTATAAACATTATTAATATGAGACAATTGTATGTGGATTTTCATAACCGAGGTCTTCCTAAAATAGCAGTTTGTATGAAAATAAAGTTGACGCAAGATAAAACACCTTGCCTTCATGCTCCAATTGATAGGATGTCCTTACACAGAGATTAATACTTCCTCCGACTTTCCAGAGTAGAAGGGACGAATGAAATATATAAAGGCAATGAATCGATGAGTCATGACTGTTACTTTAAAATGACTTCGTGTATATAATAACTGTATGGCTAGTAACCTTTAGTCATTTCTACTCCATTAAAAGATTCGTAAATGTTATGAAAGTGAGATATAAACGTATAAAAATTAAAACATCATTTTGATTTTTAATACAATTTTTTATAACTAAATGTCTGGGTATGGGCGTGGTTGGTACTAAGTATATTTGCACATACAGGCGATACAATGGTCTGTCATCCAGTACTGCAGCATTGTACACGATGTGATATCCAGGTTAGCTCACGAGAGTCGCCGGTGAACTGTTCCGCAGTTTAACTGCGAAAATTGGACCCTCTATAAATTGATGTTTTCGTGAGGTATCCCTTGAAATTTGAACTTTCAAAAAGAGTAACACTAACAGTATCAAATGTCGTAGGTATAAAATTCTAACTGACTATGACCTTAATCAGAACTAAAATGTCTAGATATAGTATTCTTACGTTTGGTACTTGAACCTTTAACAAAGGCATTGAAGCTTTTATTAGTCACGTGGTCTTTATGGGAAAATATAAAGTGTAGCAAATCTCTGCTCTCGTGTATACTGTAGAGCTGATGATGTAGGAGTTTAGTTTCGCTACAATCACAGCTATTATAAACAGTTCAAAAATAAAAGAATGAAATCTATATGCAGCAATGGGGAGATTAAATACTGTAACCACAGAAATATTTGTGTACTCTTATCCTCGCAGTGTCAACTGAGGGGTACGTCATGTGGTGGTATAAGCAACATAAAACCAAAGACTGCAAATTATATCTCTCATAACATAGAGCTGTAGGTGAGAAAATGTTTGGGATTTTTGTATCCTCGAGATAGCTAATGTAAATTATAGACTAGTGTCATCACAGATGTTTGAACCACTGAAGGATGATTTGATAGTGTCATCACTCTGAAATGTAAAAACCAGGACTGCTTGGTCACATTATGCTGACAATAGGCTAAATCACTATTTTCGTGGTTTTATTAGGATACGGTTTAGGACAGACACTATAGCTCTAAGGCGCGAGTCAATGACTAGAGAGACATTAGGAAATCATTTAAACCTTGGAGACTTTTATGATCATTTAAAGCAGTAATCCGTGGGTAAGATGTTAATTCTTTTTATTGAAATTTCAGTAAATTTTTCAGTTAATTTTCACGTGTACGACGAGTTGGATTCTTCAATGACAAATACCAAAGTAATTAATGTTTCACCAATTGGGCAAATATTCCGGTTTTTTCCGATTTTTAGCGATTTTTTTTGCCAAACATAAGGAGACATTTGCTGCTATTCTTAAACAATTAGTAAATGGTATTTTTGATAAGGACGTCTTTCCCCCAGTCTGATACAACTAATTATAGAGGAATCAGTGTGGTAAGTTGTTTAAATTATTTACTTCCGTTTTAAATAATGGACTATTACAACGGTATCAGAAGTACGACATCGTTTCCGATGTCCAGTTCAGGTTTAAGCCTGGTTTTTGAACTTATGATGCTGTTTTTGCTTTACACGGGGTAACTAAGAAAATGCTTTCTAATAACTAGAAGTTTCACTGCTGTTTTGTTGACTATCGTAAGGCCTTCTATTGTGTAAATAGAAATAAGTTGCTTTTGAAACCTTTTCATAGTTGAGTCAGAGAACAACTATTGAATATCATAAAATCTTTATACGGAGGTTAAAAGTCTTATATTAAGTATGAGTCCGAGTTGTCTTATGTTTTTATGTGCATGAGGCTTGGTGCAAGGGGAAGGGGAAACTCCCTTTCATTTTTTATGTGTGTGAATGCCTTTTACAAGCCATTTTGTTGTGATCAGTCCCAAAATGGAAGGGCACGACTAGGGACCAAAAGGAACCTACTTATGAAATCTCAGAGCGATTCAGTAACGACCTTCTTAAGAAACAATCTTTACTCGGCAAAATCCTAGATGGACTTCTTTTGGTAATTCTGTTTTTCTAAACAGTCCCAAAATAAAACGGGCACAAACAGGGACTAAAAGGAGCATACATGTGAAATTTGAGAAAGATTGATGCAGTGTTTTTCCAAGAAATAGCAATAACAAACTTTCAAAGTGAAAATCAAAGCTGGCCGTCTGCTAGCCATTTTGTTTTTCTGATCAGTCCCAAAATCAAATGGGCACAAATATGGACCTACGTAAACCTACATATGGAATATAAGAGATCCATCCAGCACTTCTCAAGAAATAGGTATAACAAACTTCATTGTAAAAATCCCAGGTATCCACCTGTCAGCCATTTTGTTTTTCTGATCACTCCCAAAAACACAACTAGAGACAAAGGGAAACATGCATAGGAAATTTTTGAGAGAGATCCATTAAGTACTTCTGAAGAAATAGCAACAACAAACTTTCAAAGTCAAAATCTAGTATGGCTGTCTGTCAGCCATTTGGCATTCTGACCAGTCTCAAAATCAAGCAGGAACAACCAGAGACCAAGGGCAACCTACACGTGAAATTTGAGAAAGATCTATGAAGTAATTCTCAAGAAATAGTGACAACACACTTTCAAAGCCTAAATCCAAGATGGCCACTTTTCCGCCATTTTGTTTTTCTGATCAGTCCTAAAATCAAATGGGCACAAATATGGACCTACGTAAACCTACATATGGAATATGAGAGATCCATCCAGCACTTCTCAAGAAATAGGTATAACAAACTTCATTGAAAAACTCCCAGGTAGCCACCTGTCAGCCATTTTGTTTTTCTGATCACTCCCAAAACCATATTTTGGCTTTGATTTGCATAATGTGAGTATTTTGTGCTGTCCATCCCCTGACTACACCACTCCCTGTTGAGTATTTATTTGATAATGGTGATAGTAAATGTTGCCACAGTATCTATGATTTTATTCTTTAGCCTATATATTCCTGTGTAAACTGGTAAGCCACTGTACACTTATGTTAAGTAAGTATACAAGCTGTCCATCTTCTATTTATTTGTCTATCTTGTACATGATAATGATCTAGAACATTTACACTAACTAAATATGATGTACAAAATGATGCTTTATATGTGATATGATCATTTTGTATCTCATATTGCTAATATATCAATTATATGTTGGTATGAATGTTTATGAGCCGTAAGGCTTCAAGTTAAATGAACAAAGGAAATGGAAATGTCTTTGGAGAGATCAGATTAGAGAGAAGATCAGATCCCCAGTTTAGTCAGGATCATACCATAGGGGCAACAGGTACAACGCTCCAGCTTCAGGGCCATTGTGGTATCTTTGAGAACTTGTACAAAAGGAACTCAGAAATAACATTAATACTTACAATATTTATTTTACTTTCTATTTTGATGAATACACATGAAAAATGAAAAAAAAAGTCACACTTATCAAAATAACGCCATTTGTGTGCAACACGTGAATTATGATAATTCTATTTGAATTGAAATGTCACTCTTTGAATATATGAATTGCATATGTATATTAAAGATCACATGACATCAGAAAATATAGAACAGAGTAACATGTATAAAGTATGAGTCTTGAGGACAGATTTTAAAACTGCAGTATAACATATATGTAAATATATGTGAAAAACATCAATCTTTAGCACATAGGGACAAATAAGTGTTTCAAAAATTCATTAAAAAATGACAAAATTGATTAACATTAACAAAATCTGTCTGCCATGGCTTTTTTTCACTCAAACTTCATAATGCTGGTACCAATTTTGGCAAATTAGAAATTTCATTCTGATTTTCAAACCCTTACAAATTTTCAAGTCATTTATTGCCAGAACTTGATAATCGACATTCACAACAACAAACATCCAAAGTGTGTAGTATTGATCATCAGTAATAATTTAGATATTATATGAGATCTTTATTGAACTGTATACAAATCAGTAAAATAGATTTCTACAAATACATAATATACCAGTAAGCTCCTATTTTGTTCCACTAAAAAAATAAAGAATATTAGACAAGATGTCTAATTTATCAAATTTCCTTAAATATAGATTACATGTACTTATACATAATATATTATAATACATGTATATTTTTTCAGAAAATATACTTTAACGAAATTCTTTTCTAAATCACAGATGTCAATTAAGTCAGCACAGCAACAATGTAAAACAATCCACACAAGAAATATTCCACCACTATTCAGTAGCACTTCACCGCCACTCAAATACACAAACATTAACTGTTATTCTATAGCGCTCCACCACTAAAATACACAACATTCTACCGTTATTCTATAGCGCTCCACCACTCAAATACACAAACATTAACTGTTGTTCTATAGCGCTCCACCACTAAAATACACAACATTCTACCGTTATTCAGCAGTGTTCTATTTTTAAAATACACAACATTCTACCGTTATTCAGCAGTGTTCTATTTTTAAAATACACAACATTCTACCGTTATTCAGCAGTGTTCTATTTTTAAAATACACAACATTCTACCGTTATTCAGCAGTGTTCTATTTTTAAAATACACAACATTCTACCGTTATTCAGCAGTGTTCTATTTTTAAAATACACAACATTCTACCGTTATTCAGCAGTGTTCTATTTTTAAAATACACAACATTCTACCGTTATTCAGCAGCGTTCCACCATTACAATATGACTGTATAAAATATGAATATTCTACCATAATACTGCAGCATTCATCACTAAACTGCTCACTGTCTAAATATGTAATTCGTATACCTGTCAATTTATTAAATAGGAAGTGTGGAGAAAATTGTTTAGTGAAATTGATAGTATCTATATATGTGCCATTGAAGGAGTGAACGGTGTAATTTTACTTATACACCTATGTAATACAACTTATTTAACAATGCAATATTACTTATAAAGCAGTGTGACATTACTTATATATTGGCATAATAACATTTATGTACCAGAGTCATATCACTTACAGTTGTGGGAATAGAAAAATGAAAATTATACAGAGGTAATAAAAATGAAAAATAGGTTTATCTCTTAATTATGAAATATACTTAGCGGTACTTTTATATATCTAGAAAATAAATAAACCTGATTCTATAAATCATTTCTGAATTTATATCAACCACGATTAAGAATTGCAGATTTATGTGATAGAATTGCATAACATGTGCAGAAATCACTTATTCCATCCAATTTTCCTATTGTGCAGACATTGTGTGCATGTTGTGTAACATTGTGCCACAACTGTCTCTACAGATGTTTATAACTTAATGCTAAATATTATTACTTATCAATAGACCATATAATACTTATTTCAGTGTTAAACTGTATTACTTATTGAAATAAGACTTATATACCTGTGTAATATTACTTATTAATCTATGTATTTATACAATGTATATGCCTATTTATAGACTGATTTCAATGAAACCTTCTACAAATTATTCCATTCCACAATAGCTTGAACTAATTTGAGTTACAATTTTTTTCTTTTTTTTTTTAAGCATAATCATGCCCCGTTTATTAGCAATCATGGCCATTGCGTAGAAAGGGCAAGAAATTTTTATTTCTCTTTGTTTCATGTGACCTCATATTTTCAGAGTTATGCCCCTTGTTATGGCAAATATGGGCATCGCGTACAAATGCAAGATGTTCAACTCTATTTCATTCCTTTCGAATCTGGCAATAAAACAGAGCACATCTCTGCTGACAAGAGGCAAAGTTTCTTACAGAATTTGTATCAAATGTGTGTAGCGAGTTTCATTTAAATAAGTATAGTATATAAATAACAGCACGAGAGAGCAGCGAAGTTAAATTTAACGAAATTGACAGAAAACATATGCTATAGATATGAGGTTGGGGGAAAAAACATAACAAAAGTTCAATATCCTTGCCACTTGCATCTCCATGCCACATTTCAAAAATCATTCAAACAGTATATTAAAACTTTCAGGCATTTTCAACACATGTTCTCAATATTACTACATATTTAGGTGGATATGATGGGCTTCCATCGTGCTTCCACCTGTGGTGGTCTTGTTACCTATATATTATTACTTATATACTAATGTAATATCATGTATTAACTGATGTGACGTTACTTACTTTTATTATTTTTAAAATGATGCAAAATTCAACTGTAACAAGTTTGAAAGAAGGTGATGGTGATTTCTATCAAAAATGGGAGAGTTGGCAGGTACAATAAAACAGTCACATTTTTCTTCTGTTATCCAGTATAAGAGTACAAGTCAATAACATATTAATTATACTGGAGCCGTATAAAATCATTATTTTACATGCATTCATTGTATTCGATTACTATATTTAAGCCAATTTGTTTGCTAGTTGAATCAGTTTGAGAAATAATTGGACACAAATAAAAATATCAATGGATTGTCTGAATAAGCAAACAGATAACACACTGGGATATAAATACATCAAACTTCCACAGCATGCCTACCTAGGTAGGCAAAATAAAACATACTAGCATCAAATAACACTGGAGGAAGATATACCACAAACATATGGATGGATATTATGCAAGAAATATTGGAGTGGTATGTAATGTGTACAATGTCTTTTTTTTTCAAAAAATAGCAAAAGTCAATCTGTTATCAAAATGTTACGTGATGAAAGGTCCAATACTTCTAACAATAACTTGCTTTAGAAATTTTATTTACGTTTACAAGTCATTTTTCCCACAATTATTTCTCATTAACACCTCAATGCTGTAAACCATTCTGACCTCCCAGAGTTACTGCCCTTCGTTGAACTCGTATGAAACCAGGGGAATATAATGGACTATTATATATCGCTTTTGAAACATTTCAATTACTAAATACATATAAAAACACCTCAATAAATATAACATTTTAACTGCATGAATTTTCTGTGGTAAATATTTTAATAGCTATAACAAGGACTGCATCTGAATGTTCAGAAATGTCAAGTTTTAAAAAACATTTCACTTTTGTTTTAATTCATTTCATGACAAATTTAATATATTTACATCATACATTCAAACATTCATATTTAAAATGAAACAGAAAAATGACGTAAAACAAATATTGTAAACATTGATGTATATCACAAAAGGTATGGAGAGATATTACACAGGAATGTCAGCATGTATAGATAGACAAAGACTTCATAAAAAACAAGAAAAACTAAAAATATCAAAAACATAAATAATAATGATAATTGAAAAATCAAAAAAAGATGAAATAATGAGAGCAATGAACTTAAAATATCAAAGATCTAAATTCCATTTCTGAAATGTTATTAATATCATATAGTAGCAATAGACATGCATATACTACACACATGTACTACACACACGTATTACACACATGCACAACACATATATGACACACATGTACTACACACATGTATTACACACATGTACTACACACATGCATGTATTATGTGTGTTCTACATAAGAAGTGAAAGTATGGTTTTATCTGTAAAATTACATCACAAGTATGACATTCAGTAATCAATTGATATCTGTTTAAAATGTCTATACCAGAAGGGGACTTTGGCTACTATGGTGATGTATCTTACCAAAATATCAATTTTATATACATTTATGTTACATACACATATCTAAAAGGCAAAAAGTAATCACTGTTTTGTTTTAGCAGGCCTCAATTTATCAAAACATTTTACTATTTCAAAAGTTTTGATGACGATACAATATATCTAATTTTTCAGGATTAAAATAAAAATGCCAAGAATCTAATAGGTTATTGGAAAACTCAAATGATTAGAAGTTTACCTTAATTACTTGTAAATGCAAACTGGTTTTTGAAATGTTCTCATAATTATACATACAAAAAAATGAAAAAAGTGAAAGACCATTGTTTATAATGTAAGTTTTCTAACATTTTTAGAATTGTTAAAAAGTAGTTCTTGTTAATTTGTTTTGTAAAAAGAGGAAACATAATATAAAAATTGCACTCTTTTTCCATCCGATGAGAGTGGACGACCAGATGTTCAGACTAGAAACTGCAGAATGACAGTGAGAAAAAGCACAGGACATACATCAGAAGGCGAAAATCACAAAATGTATATGTAATGATACTAATGTATGGAATAAAAGTGTGCTTATTCAACACTACACATACAGCACTATATGTGCTACTTTTTCATACTTAAGAAATGATTCTTGGTGACTTTTGGTAATATAAAATGTATTATGTAAAAAGAATAACTTTTGGTTATACAATGTCCTTTCCTGTAGAAAAGAGATTATAAAGCATCCAAAAATAACATTGATGTTTTCAAAAAATAAACATGGTCTTTCACCGACCAAGTTTCAAACGGTTAAACAGATTTTAAAAAAAGCAGCTTTCAACCACTGTTACTAATTTTCCTGATCTGTGCATCACAACAAATTAAGCTGTAACATTGTTTGATATCAATGTCAAACATTTTGGAGATTAACTTTCATTGTCTTGATTGGAATCTTGCAAAAGAAAACAGATTTACAGTGTTTTCAGAGAGAGGTAATCCCTTGCTACCAGCTGTGATATGGAATTATCCTGTATCACATTGTGTACATCCTTTCACAGCTATCCAACTGTTGATTTAACAAAAACAGTACTTCTACAAAATTATGCAGTCATTCAAGTTCAAGTGTATTTCATAAAACCCATTACAATTTATAGCAATGAAATAATGATGAATAATGAAAGCCACCAAGAATAAATAAATCTTTGAGGAAAAAATGGGAAAAAAAAGAGAGAGAGAGAGAAAATTATTTATATACGGCATTAAGTCTAAAGCCCACCCCTTTTTATAACTCTTCTGAAGGATGGCAAAAAATGCTAATACATTGTTCTGTAATAAGCCCACCCCTGACTTTGAGTCAGAGGTATGTAATCAATATGGATATGTGTCATACATGATCTTAGTTGCTTGAAAATTTAAGCACTTAATTCTTCAATAATTTCAAACTTCATTTCATGATTACCACACAATCTGGGACCTTATGTATATCTTGTATAGCACTGAACATCAGTAACTGACACAACAGAAACATTTTGCTTGATCATTTTTCCCTATTTTATTTTCAGTCAGAATTTCAAAACTATTCCGTTTTTCATAGTATTTTTCAAAGTTTGGAATCTGAGCATTGGTATACCATGTACCACTTCATCATTTCCTGTAAACAGACCTTCAGAGACTTTACAAAACAGCTAAGTCAACTTTCTCTAACACATTAATGGCATCATATTAAACAAATAAAGTATTTTACAAAAGTCTCTGACAATGATAGGTTCAGGACCTCATTTTCTATTAAATATGTTATTATCTACCTGCAGTGACTGGTAGTGCACAAACAAACAAAATTTATGTAACTGTAGTTGAAATATAGCTACTTTTCAGGTCAGTGACATCCACCTTTACAATACGAGCAGATTTCTGATTCCATGTAGAACAGGTATATCTAACACATGAAATATACTTCTTACTTCTGACAGGCAATACTCCACACAAAAAGTGACTTTTCATGTGTGATACTTGTCACGTAAATAATCCATACCAACAGTATGAAATGTCCTCATTTCTCTTCATGTTCACTGCAACATAAAAGTATCCTTTAACCAATTATCTCTTTAACTTTCGGGCAATAAACAAGCAATCAGAATTTATTTGAGACAAACTTTATCAATTACACATCAAATTATGACAACTACTTGAAGAATTGCACTGATCACATCCCACTCAGGGTAATAACAGTACATTAACAGTATGCAGTAAACAAGATTTAACTATGATACATTAACATTATCCATTTAACAAAGTCTAACTATGGTATGTTAACAGTATCCATAACAAGGTTTAAGACAATACATTCACAGTATCCATTAAACAAGGTTTAACTATGATACATTAACAGTATCCATTAAACAAGGTGTAACTATGGTACATTAATAATATCCATTAAACAAGGTTTAACTATGGTATGTTAACAGTATCCATAACAAGGTTTAACTATGATACATTAACAGTATCCATTAAACAAGGTTTAACTATGATACATTAACAGTATCCATTAAACAAGGTTTAACTATGATACATTAACAATATCCATTAAACAAGGTTTAACTATGATACATTAACAGTATCCATTAAACAAGGTTTAACTATGATACATTAACAATATCCATTAAACAAGGTTTAACTATGATACATTAACAGTATCCATTAAACAAGGTTTAACTATGATACATTAACAGTATCCATTAAACAAGGTTTAACTATGATACATTAACAATATCCATTAAACAAGGTTCAATAATGATACACTAAATGTGTCCATTAAACATTATTATCACTCTGAATAAGTGAACTAAGTTTCTTTGTTTCATTTGTAAAGTCTACTCAAGAAGCAACATTATTTTTGACCAATCATTGAAGATGTTTGCTTTGTTGATGGAATAAATAAAGTTAGATCTGATTGTTGAAGGTCAAGAAGTTTTCCTTGGAAATTTTTCTATTTTGTGACCTTGTTGGAGAAATCCTTGATTAAATACCCTTACCTGTTCATATGTCCATTGGATATGCCATTGTGTGCATCTGTAACGACCTTCCTGGATGCCCCATCCTTGCGGGCCTTGGTTTTCATAGACTTTGCTTTCTTAGTGTAGGTCTGATAGTAGAAGTTGGTAAAGAGGAAGATGTGTGACATGACATAACAGACCAATGCCCAGTTATAGCCATTAGGGTAGCCACAGCTCAAATAGATTGAATATGCTGTGTGACCAAAGATCCACCAGAACTGCACCTGTTGTACAAAGTTATACATTGTTCATAGAATAAAAATCTAATTGGCATAAGAAGAATATTATCATTTCTTTTTCAATCTTTCAAAATTTCACAACTGGATTGAAACATTTAAACAAAGAGGCTATATCTATCAAATAGATCAAGAAAATGGAAAATTGAAAAATAAACTACCATTGTTGTTGTTTATTTTATTTTCAAAGTTTATTCTACTCTTGAAAATAACAAAAAACAAAACTTTTACAGTATCCAAAAGTAATCAAATTGAGGGCTAGCAACAAATATCATGTAAAAAAAGTGATTGTTAGACTTGAAATAAAGATAGATGAATTTTCCATGACGTAGAGACCAAAGGAAACATGAATAAAATTTGAGAAAGATGCATTCAGTACTTCTCAAGAAATAGGGAAATCAATCTTTGCTAAGCAAATTCCAAGATGGCAGACTCTTGGCCATTTTGTATTTCTGATCAGTGCCAAAATCAATCAGGCACAAGTAGGGATCAAGGTAAATATACACATGAAATTTGAGAAAGATCCATCAGGTATTTCTCAAGAAATAGAGATAACAAGCTTGCAAAGTCAAAATCAAAGGTGGCTCCCTGTCAACCATTTTAATTTTTCTGATCAGACCCAAAATCAATTGGGCACAACTATGGACCAAGGGGATCCTACAAATGAAATTAAAAAAAGATCCATCGAGTACTTCTCAAAAAATTGTAATAACAAACTTCATTGAAAAAATCCAAGATACCTGGCTGTCAGCCATTTCATTTTTCTGATCAGTCTGCAAATCAAACATGCACAACTAAGGACCAATTTGAACCCACATATGAAATTTAAAAAAAATGAAAAAGATCCATCCAGTAACAAAAATTGTTTACAGACAGAAGGACGGACGGACGGACAGCCCACAGATGTAGGGCAATTTGAATAGCTCACTGTCTGATGATGGTGGACTTGAAAATCCTTCTGGTCCTGGCAGTTATCACCTGTAATAGACTTACCAGTTGAAGAGCTGTCATGTACTGCTTCCACCAAAGAAACTTCTGCATTTGAGGTCCCATGGCAGCCAGGAAGTAGTAGGAATACATGAGGATGTGGATAAAACTGTTGATACTCCCTGACAGGTAAGCTGTGTAGATACATAACATTGATTATTACAGATTATCATTACAGATCTATATTACTACTGAAATGATAATTTCAGGCAAAAAATCTTAAAAATCAAAATTATACAATTTATCCTTGAGAAATGATTTATAAAGTGAATACATTATATTACACAGTAATTTGTTGACTGAATCCAGCTGTATTTGGTTGGCATTTCTTACATGAATGCTTTTTTGTAATAAAGATAACATATAAAAATTAGGTTGTGTCATTCAAATATATAATAATGTAAATACTAATATAAAATTAAGAGGATTATACACTTTTTAAAGCATATCTGAACAAAATAATGAGATTGGCCCTCCTGGATAAACTCTACAATTTACACAAACATTTTTGTTGTGAGGACAACACACTTACATTCTCCTCCTGGTACAAACTTCACTCCAATCCACCAGAGCAGGGGCATGGTAGAGTGATGGTATACATGTAGGAAAGATATCTGTCGGTTCTTTTTACGCAACACAAAGAAAAACTGTCAAAGAAATTAAGAGCCAATTAGCTGAGTGCTACTGAACACATGACCCTAACTTAAAGGAGACATGATGTTTTTAACTATGAACATAGTACAAACTTCATTGGGATAGTATAATGCTGGTACCAAGGAGAGGAATTAATCTGATCACATTTCTAACATACTACATCTCTGTTCATATTTGCTCTTTTCCTTCCATGCCTTATTCATATGTAACGGATCAGATCTCTTTTCCAAGCCTACAATGTACACTTGTAACAAGAGTTGATCAGATCTCCCTTCCAAGCCTATACAGTATACTTGTAACAAGAGTTGATCAGACTCAATCCAAGCCTGTACAGTACATCTGTAACAAGAGTTGATCAGACTCCCAAGCCTGTACAGTACACTTGTAACAAGAGTTGATCAGACTCAATCCAAGCCTGTACAGTACATTTGTAACAAGAGTTGATCAGACTCCCTTCCAAGCCTGTACAGTACACTTGTAACAAGAGTTGATCAGACTCCCTTCCAAGCCTGTACAGTACACTTGTAACAAGAGTTGATCAGACTTCCAAGCCTGTACAGTACACTTGTAACAAGAGTTGATCAGACTCCCAAGCCTGTACAGTACATTTGTAACAAGAGTTGATCAGACTCCCAAGCCTGTACAGTACACTTGTAACAAGAGTTGATCAGACTCCCTTCCAAGCCTGTACAGTACACTTGTAACAAGATCTCCTTTTCATCAATACATACTGGAAGTTGAGAAGACATTATCAAATAAAATCATTCACTTGACCAATAACCTTCATCTAAATGTTTTGATTTTTTCTTATCAAATATTTTTTACTGAAATTGTTTTCAAAATTTTCAAATCAATATTTCAGGAATTAATAGACCTTGGAATTTAAGTTCAAGGTCAAACAGTTTAAATAATAGTACAATGCATGTCTGTGGGCTTATTTTATTCTTCCTTTGAAACAAATGTAAACAAGTTTTGAACAGTTGTTATTGTGTAAAATGCACTGTGTTATCTGGACTTGTTCTGTTACAACAAAACTTAATTATTTCACACTAGAGCCCTACCCTCAAGAGAGTTGTTGCCATGGCAACACAGAATAATATATTGCTGTGGTAAAATAGTCCTCTGTCAACTGACAATCTATAACACAGCTGAGCACTAATACAATAACTATCAATATTTAATGAGATATGCATCACGGAAATGTGTGGCATATATTTCCTGGTCACCAGCATTTCCAATACACTGCCCTCAGTAGTTTCCTGTAGGCACATAGGGGATTATTATCTGGTGCTGCACAGCTGCTAAATCTACTTAGTAGATGCATATTGGAATGAATATACATACATGTACAATGTTTCTATCAAGGTCCTCCTGTGCTTGATTCATTAAGAATTTCTGACTTGGAGTTAAAAGAAATCATTCCAGCAACAACTACATCTGTTTTGAACTCCATGTATACCAACATAACCATCTGTCTACATGGTGTCCCTTTTTTTCCTTGAATACTCAAGGCATTGCATTATATATCACATGATTTAAAGGTTAGGAGAATGAAAGCTGCCCTAAAGCACTTATTGTTGATAGTCTGTTAAAACCCCAAAAAAAACAGAGTTAACAACCACATTGGCCGACATTCAAGGTAAAATGACCCAACCTGATAAAAGATCAATTCTCAAACAATTTCATTAAACAATGAACTTAACAGATTTAGAGAGATATGATATGCAGTCTTTAGGTGCAAACTTCCCTCAGCCTCATTATGAGATCACAGGGATAAAATACATCACTATATCAACAGATTGTTCTAATCTAACCTAAATACTGCCATTGTTAATCGCAATCATTACTAGCTTATATTAGATCTTTTTGTATTATTACAGAAGTGCAGTTTATGAACAAACACAAACTTGTCTAGACGGTTTGAAGTAATAATTATTAATCATTAATTATTATTTATTATTAATATAATATAATTATATTATTATTAATAATAATTAAGCTTATGCAGAGAAAATATAAACACATAACATAAGGCTACATGTGAGTGAACATGTTCTCCGTGTGATAAGTTAATTGTCATTGGTCAGTCTGATCACATGACTAGTCAAGTTTTGCAGACCATGCGACAGAATAGTTTTTCTTCAGCCTTCAGCAGCAGCAACAGCAATGTATTTTGTGCCAATAGTGTTTTTATCCCCCAACACCCCACCACTCTACCATAACAGGTGATGCCTGGGGACTATAACAGCTCAAAAATTCATAAGGCATTATAAGTAGTAAACACTTGCCAGTTTCAAAGCATGGATAAATTGTACCTTTCCCCTTTCTTTAAAGGGAGTTAGGGTATAGGCACTCAGCTCTGCAGCACATTAGGCGTCTTACTTCATTATGTAATTTGTAAATCCCTAAAGAATTTTTATATAGAATTTTCTCCCTTCAGCCATATGGACTTGGTCAGCAGCTTCTCCTGCTAAGCTTATTTAAGTATTTATAAGTCAACTGGGTCTAACTGAAGTCTAGTCAAATACCACAGTCGTTATAGCCCCTTATGTTATTATGTTGATGATTAATATATGTGTAGTTACAGTTTATATTCCTCTTGTATTTTTTTGCTAACAAATTTTGCATTTAAGAAAAAGGTATTACGATGCTGAAATAATCATAGGAATAAATGAGAATCCACATTAAACATATGTACTTACAGTATCCATGAATTCTATGATCTTGGAGAAATAAAACCACCAGCATACATTGGCCAGCTGTAAGACAACATACACATCACTAATGTAAGTTTACAAGAAAAGGAATATAACTTGCTTAATTATAGAAATTTTGTACTTATCCAGTGAACATTACACTACCATGAGGGTCACTGTGGCCTTGATATCAAGGTCAAAGGTCAACTTGTGACTTTTCAACAAATTCTTGTCCAGGCGATAACATTTAAACCTTTTAAGATGTCTTTATGAAAATTGATGATTATTTTTATCACCAAGAAGTGCAGTACACTGCCGTTACCTCACTTTGACCTTGACCTTAAAGTTACAAAATGTAATTAATATTTGATATTTGATTTAGTAATTTTAATACTATTGACCAATTCTGATGAAGAATGAACTATCCTGTTATTATACATGCATTAATTAGAAAGTTTAGTATATACACTTGTCTATGCCAGAGCCATCAATGCATTGTTCACAGAAACACAGCGTCAAATAAAAATAATAATTGTGAGTATTTTTTTCTTGCACACAAATCCTACTTCAAAAGCAGCAAATTTACATTTTTGCTTGAAAGAGGGGACAATTTTTTTATCATAACAATTTCTTTAGTTTCATCTTAAACTTTCAGTTAGAATTCATCATCATCATCATCATCATCATCATCATCATCTATCTCTACTGGGATAAAGTCATCAAACACAATGGAGTATCAAAATTATTTTGAAAACAAGATGTGTTTATGAAACACTATGCCACGGTTGCAACATTAAAACTGTATTGTGTAAGACATGCTAAATACATGCACACTTTGCAATAGTTATGGCCAATGGTCACATGGTGAAAGTTTTTGGTACCAATGGAAAGGTCTTTCAGATAGCATGAAACAATATGCCCCCGATCGTTTGTTTTGAGGCATAAAAAATTATCCCCAAAGTTTAATTATTTTACAATTTGTTTTAACTTGTCTCTAAGACCTGTTCTCTTACCCTCACTGGCAGTGCATCAGTGGAGTAGTCCATGGACTGGCACCACTTGTTAAAGGCAGGGTTCAACCATGAAGTCATCAAAAACTGTCAAATATATAAGATATCAGAAACAGGTCAAACAAAAACTTCAAATGCACAACATAACAGAAGTATGTCTAAAAATATCAATCACTCTCTGTCACAGATATAGGTCAAACACACAAGGTAACAGAAATAGGTCAACAAAAACTGTCAAACACACAAGGTAACAGAAATAGGTCAATCACAAGTGTCAAACACACAAGGTAACAGAAACAGGTAAAAAAAAACTGTCAAACACACAAGGTAACAGAAATAGGTCAATCACAAGTGTCAAACACACAAGGTAACAGAAATAGGTCAATCACAAGTGTCAAACACACAAGGTAACAGAAATAGGTCAATCACAAGTGTCAAACACACAAGGTAACAGAAATAGGTCAATCACAAGTGTCAAACACACAAGGTAACAGAAATAGGTCAATCACAAGTGTCAAACACACAAGGTAACAGAAATAGGTCCATCACAAGTGTCAAACACACAAGGTAACAGAAATAGGTCAATCACAAGTGTCAAACACACAAGGTAACAGAAATAGGTCAATCACAAGTGTCAAACACACAAGGTAACAGAAATATGTCAATCACAAGTGTCAAACACACAAGGTAACAGAAATAGGTCAGTCACAAGTGTCAAACACACAAGGTAACAGAAATAGGTAAAAAAAAACCTGTCAAACACACAAGGTAACAAGAACATATTACTGTCATGTTCATTTTGTTTTAATGTTTTACTTCTTTTTCCAGCTGGAACTTGTTCTTTTCTAATCTCCTGCACCATCATGAAACGACTTGAGTTTTCACACTTTTGCATGACATATCATTTGTTTTCTTAACAACATATTCTTTAAACAATTTTTTTGTGCATTTTCAGATTCAAGGCCATTTCAAAAGAGAACTTTATCAAAAATTACCTTGAGATTTGTCTTCAGTAGAGTGAAAAAAATTCAAATTATGGAAAATCAGAAAGTTTGTTTGAAAAAATTCAAGTGTCTTAATGGTTGTTTACTTCATTAATCAGAATTAATTACAACATATTTCTATCACAGAATATAAACAAACTAAACAACATCACTAACAACATAAATCACAATCTGATTAGTCATATTACAAGAATCACAGCATCAGGGAATTTTTTTTTTCAATTTAAACTAGCTTACATATATCTATCCCTGGAAAGTTCCCCACATGGTTGTATGTAGCAATTTAATCTATAAATCAGCACAGCTAAACTTCCCTTAGTACATGTGTTGTGCATAGTGTTGTGAATCTGACTGTATGAATTAAATTTTATTATCAAGTTGAACCAAATGACCATTACCTACAGTTCATATGAATTCCATTTATCTTTAGTCCAAAGGGACGCCAATGAAAAATACTGTTAGTGTGGAAGAAGATTAGGGAAAAAAATGATATATATTTAAAAACAAAATGTTATACCATGCAATCTTTGACATATTTCATAACCAGTTATTAAGTCCTCTACCAACTTCCCGGCTATTGAGAAGTAGAATGTTAAATCACACTGAAAAACTACGAACCAAACCTATATGAAGTGATCTACACAATGATTCTCAGGATGCTTCCATTTCCGAGATATATTGTCAATCTACAGAACATATCAAAGTCTTCTTTTAACGTTGTTGTTTCATAGAAATTAATTCAATATACATCATATATACAAAGAGTCTTTCGTCGAGGTTGATATATGAAATTATCATCCCGGAACAGATATATTCACCAAGGACACAGTTTAAGTTTTAAAGTGTCAAGCGTCCGATGGACCAAAGACAAACTAATACATCAATGATAACTTTCAAGTTTTATATGAGAAGTAAAGCATTGCAAACGATACAAATCCCTTCCCTTCCATTTGATCAAAATCTGTTGAGAAATGAAGTTGCTAGATCAATGGCAAAGATTTTCTATAAATAGTAACAGTGAACTTAATGTTGACCATGGCACACTAAAACATGAACTTGTTAAAGGTATTGAGATACTTGACCAATATGTGAAATTTGATCAAATCCGTTGAGAAATGAGGTTGCTGGAGTAATGACAAAAAGTTAACATACATAGGAACGGAATGCTATATCCTCATCGCAGTCGTTACAAGGGGATATTAAACACGAAAGACAGATTACCTAGCATCCCAAAAAGTCATACCAAAGAGGATAATGATCATTAAGTTGTAGTACTGATAACAAAGTGTTTGTCATCAGTTGTTGTCATCAAATGGAGGCAGAGACAACAATGAATTTGACAAAGACAATATGTTCAACAAGACCTGTATGGAGCTACAAGTCAAAATTTATTGTTGCAGATACTCCAGCAAGCTTGTTTTAAAAAAGTACATCACAGGTTTTTATAAACTGATAGACTGACCCAATTGAGTTTTGGCTAACATTTAGAAGAAAGTTACCATGTATGAAAATATATAACTGCTCAAACAGGCAGAATTTGTATATTTGCCTCTATTCCCTGAGTTGAAATATAATTTGTTTACACTGAATAATAAATAATTATTAAATGGACTGACAAACTAGAATTTAATGAATTTATAAAAAAGATACTGCCCAGTAGACGAAATATTTTTTTCCTTGATCCATCTACAAGAGGAACTGGATAAAAGCTGAATTACCTCATAGAATATGTATGCATTAAGGAGAACGAGACAGAGGTTATAGATCATGAGACCATTCTTTATTTCCAGTGCCTTCCTGTCCCTCATCCATCGCTGACCCTGTATGACTAAGATTAGGTACAAAATCACCAGAGATACTGTAGGTAACGGTGATGACATCAACAGCCATCCTGACGTACGTGGATCTGAAACAAAATGAGCAATCTTTCTAAACCATGGTTTATATAATAAATATTGGTACCAAAAAGATAATATTCACTACCAATTTTTAATGTTTTTCATTTTCTGCTATCGGCACTAATGACCTGTACATTTTGTCATCTTGGACCAGTACTACTAACAATATAAGCTTCATTAGGAAATAAAAAATGGTGGGGTATCTGTACAATCATGTTTGTTAACTTTGACTGTCCACAGGTAGCTTAAACAATGTGTAACAAAACCCATCAACAGGGGAGAGAAGGAATGCTAGGATTTGTCATGAATACAATGTAGGTATGTTACTCAGCACAGTACATGAAATATAAAACTGCATATTAGCAACAACCTTTTATTTTTTTGGAATTCATTGAGAATATTAGCAACAATCTTTTATTTTTTTGGAATTCATTGAGAATATTAGCAACAATCTTTTATTTTTTTGGAATTCATTGAGAATACAACAATCTTTTATTTTTTTGGAATTCATTGAGAATATTAGCAACAATCTTTTATTTTTTTGGAATTCATTGAGAATATTAGCAACAATCTTTTATTTTTTTGGAATTCATTGAGAATATTAGCAACAATCTTTTATTTTTTTGGAATTCATTGAGAATATTAGCAACAATCTTTTATTTTTTTGGAATTCATTGAGAATATTAGCAACAATCTTTTATTTTTTTGGAATTCATTGAGAATATTAGCAACAATCTTTTATTTTTTTGGAATTCATTGAGAATATTAGCAACAATCTTTTATTTTTTTGGAATTCATTGAGAATATTAGCAACAATCTTTTATTTTTTTGGAATTCATTGAGAATATTAGCAACAATCTTTTATTTTTTTGGAATTCATTGAGAATATTAGCAACAATCTTTTATTTTTTTGGAATTCATTGAGAATATTAGCAACAATCTTTTATTTTTTTGGAATTCATTGAGAATATTAGCAACAATCTTTTATTTTTTTGGAATTCATTGAGAATATTAGCAACAATCTTTTATTTTTTTGGAATTCATTGAGAATATTAGCAACAATCTTTTATTTTTTTGGAATTCATTGAGAATATTAGCAACAATCTTTTATTTTTTTGGAATTCATTGAGAATATTAGCAACAATCTTTTATTTTTTTGGAATTCATTGAGAATATTAGCAACAATCTTTTATTTTTTTGGAATTCATTGAGAATATTAGCAACAATCTTTTATTTTTTTGGAATTCATTGAGAATATTAGCAACAATCTTTTATTTTTTTGGAATTCATTGAGAATATTAGCAACAATCTTTTATTTTTTTGGAATTCATTGAGAATATTAGCAACAATCTTTTATTTTTTTGGAATTCATTGAGAATATTAGCAACAATCTTTTATTTTTTTGGAATTCATTGAGAATATTAGCAACAATCTTTTATTTTTTTGGAATTCATTGAGAATATTAGCAACAATCTTTTATTTTTTTGGAATTCATTGAGAATATTAGCAACAATCTTTTATTTTTTTGGAATTCATTGAGAATATTAGCAACAATCTTTGCCGAGTGTTAAGTCTATGACATAATAAATCACTGTGGTAGATCTAGGCCTACTCTCTATCCAAGCTAAGTTTGTTGACAATTTTAAAGCATTCAATAAGTAGCATTAATAATTTTTATCTGAGTTTGATGTTCCAAATTGTGCAAAGGACCAACTTTCCTTGACAATTACTTAGACTGCAACCATCACAATTTTATAGGGTTGTCCTTGGCTAGGTTTGAGGAAAAATGTTTAATTTTGCATAACCTTCATTTCCAACGAATGGAATTAATCCTTTATATGAATCTATTTTACATGCAAAGGGAATTACCAGGTATTCTTTTTAAATAACAACTCAAATTTAGCTTAAAATAAGCCTGAAAATTTGAAAATAACATTCAGCTGTTGATTTAACCTAGTAAAAGTTGCTCATCGCTATGTACCTCCTCCATTCCTTGCACCCTTATTGGTGTCCAGTATAACAGTGTCTGAACGTACTGGTTTTTAAAAAATGAGGAATTACTATTTCCCATAGATTGTATACCTTTGATGTAGTTTTTGGTCTGATCCTTCCATTGTATTTTTCTCTGGCATGATATCATTGAGTATACTGTATTGTGTGTCAGTCCTTAGACATCAACTAATTACTGTTTATAAAAAATATCAACTCCAGAACAAATACAATTATTTTATTTGAAAGATTAAACTAATTTTGAAAGTTTGGAAAATAAAACAAAGAGTGAATGCTTAATTTACGGTCAAGAAAATGTCACTATAAATAGTGTAGTTCTCTCAGTTTTTATTTAGTAAAATCAAGGGTATGAAGGTTTTTAATCCTAAAGATAGAAATTCATAAAACTTGGTTAAAAAAAGCAGCAAAGGTAAACAATCTCAAATATTTATGTTTTATCAATGTTTAGATTTCTTCACATAACCCTCCCACTAATACTTTCATGTAGCAAATGGTGTCCAATCACTATGCCAACCCCTTCCCCCCCACTCCTCTACACACCCCTCCCCACTTGACCAATCCTACATTGTCCCCTATAACTCACCTATATTATCCCCTATAATTCACCTATACCATCCCCTATAACTCACCTATATCATCCCCTATAACTCACCTATACAATCCCCTATATCTCACCTACACCATCCCCTATAACTCTCCTATACCATCCCTATAACTCACCTATACTATCCCCTATAATTCACCTATATTATCCCCTATAACTCACCTATACCATCCCCTATAACTCACCTATATCATCCCCTATAATTCACCTATATCATCCCCTATAAATCACCTATATTATCCCCTATAATTCACCTATATTATCCCCTATCCCCTATAACTCACCTATACCATCCCCTATAACTCACCTATACCATCCCCTATAACTCATAACTCACCTATACCATCCCCTATAACTCATAACTCACCTATACCATCCCCTATAACTCACCTATACCATCCCCTATAACTCACCTATATCATCCCCTATAACTCACCTACACCATCCCCTATTACTCTCCTATACCATCCCTATAACTCACCTATACCATCCCCTATAACTCACCTATATCATCCCCTATAACAACAGAGTAAAAATTAAAGCAGACAGAAGTCGTGAAAGTCCTGAAGAACTGGATAGCAGTAAAGGATTGCCATTGTCACCAATGGGCTAAGGTTAGATTATTTATCAAATTTTGTAATATACAGACAAAGGGTCACTAGTTTGATTCCCAGCAGAAGCTAACTATTACACTATCATTGAGACAAAAGTTGTTAGAGCTGCAATTGTTTGCTAACTACATTTTCCTTGTGTGATTTAGAAATCTAGGCAATAAGAATGTCTAGACTGATGATTAAAACATTACTGCAAGTATTTCTTAAGTTTCAGCTATATCTCACAGGTAGAAGTAGGTGTTGTTCATGGAAACCATGATTGTGGAACCACAATACAAAATGGTCATTATATTGAACTTTCAATGACGCCAATAAAAATCACATTGATAGCCACAGGCTTCTCATTATTCCTCATCAATTTTCAGCTCAATGGCTCCAGTGGAACTTGAGAAGTTTAAAATGTATTTTTAAATGTCTAATTCATATTTTGGACTGACCCACACAATAACAACATTCAAGGTTTGGACTTTCTCATGATCATTTCAGGCAAGCTACAGCTGATTCACAATAATGAAACTTGAGAAGAGGTTAAAATTGTAAAAAAAAATTTAAGAACATTGACCTTTTGAGTCAGATGACCAAAATATGCATTCAGACTTAGATATTACCTGTTGCCTCTTTCATGATCCAGTTATATTCATGGTAGACTCTAGTTACTGACCACATCTTTGTAAACACCTACTGAATCTGAAAATGGAAAATGAATTAAGTGATTCAAATCTATTATTGAAGAGAAATTAGGTCGCACACATCTATCACGGAAGATAAATCAGGTCATATATATCTAACGTGAAAGATAAATCACTTCACAGACATCTTATATGGAAGAACAGAATCTGACAAAGCAGATGATGTGACATCTATAAGCCCATTTAACAGGACTATGACATGCCTATAGACTAAAAAATATACTTATGATATAAGTAAATTTTACATAAATTGTGGCCCTCATTTCAGAACAATACATTTCTTATTTGGATTGACCAACACTTACATGGTGAGTGTTGTCAGTAAATCAGAAGACACTTCTCCTGGCCTTATTCTCAATTGTACTTCCCATATAAATTTCTTTTGTCTACATTTTGTTCTCATATTTCATTGATTATGAATCTGAATGAAGATTTTGTTAACATGAGTATTTTTGTTGCTTTTCAATGGTAATTATGATATCACCTGTCTGTTTGTAATGATGGGATTGAGGGAAGGATGACATAAAGTATTACATCCATGTGCCTTCCAGCTGATTCTTAATTCATTAAACATTTCTGATGATGACATTATGTTAAGTTTCCATACACCATTCCCCATACCTCTCAGTAATTATCCTTTTTGTTCAGCCTTTCCTCACACCTATGACTTTACTGGCCAACTGGTACTGTTATATTAAAGCTGATCATTAGATTTTCCAATTATTTGGAAAGACATTGCCATTTCTCCCCAATATGTTAGAAAATTGCAAGTCCATTATATTGTATGAATGCAATGCAATTTCCCCCACTTTCTCCCCATTTTATCATAATATAAACATACATTGGTATATCATTTATAATATCTGATTAATGCACTCAACAATTATATTAGAAAATGAAATGATACACATCCAAATGTGTATTTACTGAAGTTCTCGATTATAATACACCTGAATCACACGAACCCTTGTGATGGGCTACTGTTATAAGATCAGTGATCAATCTACATACGAGTCACGACTCCTGTACTCATAGAATTTCGATGAGACTCACAGAATTTTTGCAAATACTTAAATTATACAATACAGGACCCATTCTTTTTAGCAAGTTGAAAAATGACTCCTAAAATTAAAATGTAGATTAATTACTGTAAGACGTGTAGCTAGGATGCATAAATTTTATATCATATAAAACCTAAAACTAGTAAAGCATGTGGTCAAGAATCATCAAAGATATAGGCCTACCGCAGACTGATCCGACAGTTTGGTCCAGGAACTATCAGTCAAGTGTCGTGTTACTAATGTGCAGATGTGTATCAGTGGACGTCTGCCGTAGTTTTAAACACGTGGTTTACTAAACCCACAACATCATTAAAACAGCAAGTTTACATTAATGTAGTTAGTTACGCATGACTGACAATGCAGTAGTCGATTTAGTAATGTTTAAAATAATTAAGTAAACATACCTGCAAGTGCAGAATAGCTTTACGTTATGAATAGGAAAATTGGTTTCCCTGGTGAATGTAAACATGTGTGGAACACAAACTTGGAATACCCCCCAAAACATGCTAGGATCTGATCATATCTTTTCCACCAATCAAAACATTCAATGCTGAGGTTTGGCTAAAACAACGTCAATTCTGATTGGTAGTTTGCTTGATTAACTAGGTCAGCGAAAAAAGGCCTTGGACAGGTTGTTTCATTGTTGTTACTAGCAACGCCCTAACTTGGGACAGATCTGTTCATGTTGAATCTGTCCTTACTTCTGCCACTCGCGTCGGATTTGGTAAGTTGTTTATGCGTTTTTTACTCCTTCTGTTAAAATTCTATCTTAATGCTCAGAAAAAAGGTTAACCGGCGATTTACTTCCGCTGAAAGATGGCGTCTGCTCTTTTTGTCAGTCCAATGCCCACGCTATCTTACTATTTTATCTACAGTGACCTCGTGTTTGAAATCATGTGAAAGCCACGATCTGTTGTTTAAAGACACATTCCATTGCCTCATATTACCCACGGCACAACTTCAACATACCTAGCCAGTCTAACATAGTTCAGGCCTCTGGGCGATAACGTAAACTGAGTGATGGGGAACGTTAGGCGTAGAACTTGTGTTGTTAGGATAGGATTTCAAACTTATATTGCTGATACTGCATATTATACTAGTGAATATAACGTTGTCTATAATATAGGATAAAGTTAAGATTCGGCTGCCTCTGCAACAATCAGTGTACACTAAGTGAAATGTCTGTTATAGACCCTACAGTGCGGAGTGTACAGTTAGGTCTGTTGGCATCACTGAGGCATTGCTCAAATGCTGGTGGTAAGGTGGCTCGAGAGGTCCTTATCTTTACCAGAGATGGTTAAATGAAATTCAGTTGTGGAAAGATAGACTGTATGAGTCAATCGTTCAAAAGGTTTACAATGTCCTTGATTTTATTTTTTGCCTTTGTCGCAGGTAATATAATAATTGGTAGATAGCAATAACCATTCAGACTATCCCCTAGTTTGATTCAGGTCAACAAAAGGTTTCTATGTAAATCATAAGTTGACAGAACTTGTTTCTTACGTTTACTGGTTATATAGTGGTATAAAGTTGAATGTGATCACCATACTAAGCATCTCATACTGCATGTAACATTGTACTTTATGGCAGGTGTAGAATTTATTTTCAAAGTAGAAACAAAAAGTGATCTTTTCATTAGGTTTGTTTACAGTTTGTAGACATACATTTAGCTCATCGTCAAAAAAAGTGATTATAAAGAGAACAATGAGGTGATTAGGGGACTGTACAGTTCCTTCTCTGTCTATCTCACTGTTTGAGATTTATCATGTCAATGATAACTAAATGAGCCTCATTTTGAAACTACACATCCCAAGTGTCTGGTATGTTTTGAGATAGCAGGCATGCAACTCACAATGCTGTCTAAGGTCAATTTCTGACATAGAGTGAACAGACCAGGTCTCTGGGGTAGCAGTTGGTCCTGATATGCTAGCTGTTACTTGATAGGAGGGATCATGGATGGTTACAAATTATCATCCTCATCAACCTAATTGGTTCTTGCCTATTAAACTTAGATAACTTCATGCTGTCATCCAAATAATTAATTGGCTAAATTGTATTTACTGAAACTGAATTCATCATGGCTAGCATGTTAATAGCTGCAGTGTTGTTGACGTGACAAAATTACGATTTTATTATATTGTGTTGTCCAGGGTATGAGGAAGTTGGGTATAACTATTTATTCATATTTCATTTTCTTTACCCAACCAGTATATTGACATAAAACATTATTGAAAATTGGGTACAATGTATATCAGGGATTGTAGTGCTTCTCATCCACCTTCCTAGTTGGTTGTTGAACTATGTACTGTCGCTGAAGTAAGTGAAGGCATTAAAATTAACATCAAGAAGCATTGAAATCCAGATACCTGATAAAAATATAGTTGAATATGACTAAAGTCAAAGTAGAACAAATTAATTACACAACAGGTTATGCATGTATCACCTGGTAAATTAGTCTAAATATACTCATTGTACAAATATTTCAAATATGGCACTGTACTTAGGGGGCAAACTGTCTGTAAATATCAGTTGTAGTATTAACTTATATTGTTTACATAATGACAGAATCACTAAGTTATCCATGTCCTGGATATGTTATAGATTAGTAAAGTATTATTTACTTTCAGTGACACGCACAAAATATTTAAATATTCATTCACCTGGGTATCAGTATTATATTTCTGATACATCATGTATAGTTCTTACCAAGACATTCTAAGAGTTGTTTATAAAAACTGTGAATTGTCATTTAATTTCATTGTTCTAGTTGTATTAGATTAAGAAGCCATATAACAGAAGCTTTAATGTGTAGTATTTTTGTGATCAATTTTGATTTATGAAAACTGTCCAAATCCTGCAAGACCAATATGACATGTTCTCATTCTCAAATTGAAGTGACCATTACTATTGAATGTAACCTTTTAACTTTTTCTATTGTAAGCTAGTGAGAAAAGATTATTTACCGTTTGGTGTTAAGGTAACTACAAAAGTTCTGTGAGTTCAAGGGTTAATATGAAGCCATGATCATTATTTACCGTCTGGCATGTACATGTTTATAAATCACTTTACAAGGGTAATATGATAAATACACAGCGGTAGTCACTTCCTAAACTCTCCCCATAGTTCTATTTTAATGCCACTGGTATAGACAGTTTACTTATTCAAAATAACTTATCAAATTAAAATCAAAATATGCTAGATTTATTACATGTGTTTACATATAACTAAAGAAATCTTAGGATTAGCGAGAAGACATGATTTTTTTCATTTAAAGTTTAAGATGTTTGATATAAAATAATTTTTAAGTCTGAATATTGCAATATTTTTTTTAAGCTAACAGTGCTCTGTAAGCTTGTGTGTCACTAATGGTACATGTACACAGAGTTCTGTAGTAAGTAAGGCTTAAATACTGAGTTGTTGTCACAATAAATCCTTTGGATGTTCCAGCAGGTTTGAGCATGGCCTGGTTAAATACCCTGTTCATGCTTGCATTGCATACCCTTTTACCAGACAGGAATACCATGAAAGGTCATAATTAGTCTTTTGCTCTGTTGACAATTTGACAAAAGACAAGTAAAGTGCCAGACAGGTCAAATTAACTTAGCAGTTTAGCACATTGTTCTTGATATGAAAAGCTGTCCCCAGAATATCTGCTTAATTCATGTGATTTTGAATAAAAAAGTCAATTATGCAGGTTAAGGTTTTTGTTTACTGAATTTGTCCTGATCAGTTATAAATGTTAGATTGCTCAAACTCCAGTTTTATGGAAATTGATGACCCAACATAAATACTGATTATAATTACACATTGGATTTATAAAGAGAATATAACTAAATGCTATTTTCATAACAGCAATGAACCCTAAATATCTTTACTTAATGTATTGAGTAAAAAGAAGTCATGTGTAGGTGTTCTATAATCAAATCTAGATTTTCCCAATTCACGTTTGTCGTTATAAAATGCTTGTTAAATTTTATTTATGTGATCAGATTTTTTTTTGTAAATACTATCAGAAGATTAAACTCTGCATCAGAGACTCAGAAAACAGTCATGTTTTCTTGTAAAATTCTGTGGTTTTACTGTAGTTTGTGTGCCAATCACACCCTACATAGAAATCAGGTTATGTTACCAGAATTTTTTTGATAAATATGTTTGTATTGTACTTGAACTTTATCAATATTCAAAGCAGACTTTGGACCTTTACCCTAAGTAGATTTAATTATACCATTAGGTATAAAATGCATGGACCACTGTATACAGGACTTATTTGAGGTTGGTTTAACTTGACTATTGCAGGTACAAAGTAATGGGATAACGGCTAACAGGCTCGTTAGGGATATACGATAACTAGAACTTTAAAATGAACAAGAGTATCAAGCTCTGTCATCTTGTTCTTTATGTATCTGTTAGTCTGTGTTTATTAGATCCACAGGTATTGTGTCATCACTGGTATTTTTGAAGTTTAAAGGTTGAGACTTTTGTACATTTGTATGTATATCAATACAATGTCAAAAAGTCTATTTTCATGATGGTGATTCCTTTCTACTTTAAAATTTGAAAAGGTCCAGGATTTGTTAAATACACAACACATTTACCTCAATGTCTGTTCCTAAGGTATGCATGTGGCCTGCTGAATATGAACATGACATATTTTGATTTGAGTTGGAAACTAAGGCAATCATCAATTCTCTAAAATAGAAAAGGTTGACAGAACATTGAAATCTGAAATTCATTTAATCTTTACAAAGACAGAAACAACTTGATGAATTAATTGATTATGTCAATAGAAATGGCTATATCTATCACTTTTGTGACCATGCACAAATGCTTGTCTTGTTTACAGATACTTTAGATTGGAAGTAATAATATCCAAACAAGATGGAAGTCCTACAAGACAAGTATTATGAGTTACAGAAGTTCTGGGACTGGGCTGTTTCTATATCAGGTAAGTCACAATAATGGTGAAGCAACATAGTTATTATTAACTGATTATTTTTTCCTTGGCGTTGATTTTTATGGGAGGATATATTTTGATTAATTCAGTAGGCTGATTCCATTTACCACTACTATGGTATGATATATTTATTTTGAATGGGGAAGTTATCAAAATATTAGGTTTTATTTTGTTTCAGGGAAATTATCAACAGCTGATGGATTCTTTCCTGTTGATATTAGTTTATGGGAGGGCTGGTGGGGGTGATTGGGGCGACAGAGGGAGAATTACCAAAATCCACTGGTTCCTTTCTCCCAATTTGTATTGGTTCACAGCAGGAAAGGGGATGGGAGGAATTTTGTTTTCATATTTTCATCATGAAAATGTGTGAAAAAAAATGTAATACTCAATATGAATATTTAGAAACTCAGGCCTAATGAAATAATGTTAAAATCAGTGAAGCTATGGTCATGGTAGTGAAGCTATGGTCATGGTAGTGAAGCTATGGTCATGGTAGTGAAGCCATCTTTATTGTATTGTCATTACGCTCATATATACATAGTTATAAACGTGTTTTTGATTTTGACAGATCCCAGAGTGAAGGATTGGCCCCTAATGCAGAGCTACACTCCAACCATTGCATTGACCATCATTTACATATTCTCAGTGATCATTGGCAAGCGAATCATGGCTAACAGGGAACCTATGAAGTTCAAATACACATTATTCTTCTATAATTTAGGACTTATTGCTCTAAACTTCCATATATCATATACAGTAAGTGTACAGGTTTAGAAGTTTTTAATTGATGACATTTGAATTTGTACCTGTAACAGGTATACATTTAAGTGCTTAAGGTGGTAGTGTGAATGTATCAGTTACCAGTTACAACAGCAAAAACTACATAATTGCAATGTAAAACTGAATTGTTAAATAAGTGTGAAACTGGTATTTTTCTCATCCAACAATGTCCAATTTACATTTATTTTGGATTGTTTCCGAGATCATTATGAGGCTTCAGGGATAATTAAATTATTTGCATTGAAGCAATCCTCAGGATCATAAAAAATGCTTATAATTAGCTTTGAGAATCTATTTTCATAATTGTTTTATTTTAAATTTCAGCTATTTGTATCTGCATACAGAGCTGGTTACAGTCTTCAGTGTCAGTCTGTCAAATACTCCTACGACCCCAATGAATACAATGTAAGTATACTGGCTCCAGAATTCAATATCGATTGTCAAGCATTGCCATTGACTCAAAATAAAAAACAAAGGACGGCTTATTCATTAGCAATGACACCAGTAGTATTTGTAAAATTATCCTGAACTGCCATAGAAATGCATTGGCTTATAACCAAACATTAAATTAATATGGGATAAAGACAGGTATATATATCAAATTGAGGCCACAAAATTCAGTAATAATATTTGATGAATATGCACACCTGCGTAATACTAATAATTGTATGTAAGAATGACAAGTCGGGGAATGAAACACAAGGGAATGGTCACATGTTTACTTATCACTTACTTTGTAAACTGCAATGGATTGCTTTATCAGTATAGGTTAACAACAACTGTTATTTCCAAGAAACATGCATCATTGTACATAATTCAAGAACTCTTCACTGTAATACATTAGGAAGAGTTTGCTTAAGATGTATTTTTTTTTCATGTGTTTAAAATATGTTTTGTATGTACAGTAAGACGATGGTGTTAAGCTTGCATCACAATATTTTGAAAAATAGATTTCTGAAAGATATTCTATAGTTAAGCTGAATTTTGTAACCAATTTCTTTGTCTTCTTTCAGATTGCCTCTGCCCTTTGGTGGTTTTATATATCAAAGTTGGTGGAAATGATGGACACAATATTTTTTGTGTTGAGAAAAAAGAACAATCAGATTAGTTTTCTACATGTGTACCACCATGCTTCCATGTTTCCACTGTGGTATATAGGTGTCAAGTGGGTCGCTGGTGGCCAATGTAAGTATTTGTAATTTTCTTATTGGACAAGATAAGACTTTCCATTGAAATAAATTTGCAGGAGCTTGTGTATTTTTTTTTTCAAATTAATGTGTAAAACATTAAAAAGAAAATTGAACAAACAAAGTCAAACTCAAGAATAATAATATTTAACTTAATCTTTTTATGTTTAAAAACTAAGTTTACCAATTTCTAAAACCATTTTTATTTTGAATGCTTTGTAGGAAGTGCAGAAGTATTACAATCATGTTTTGTTTTAAGTAAGACACAGTAATGGTGCATTTAAGATTTTTGTAAGAGTTTTTCATATTAAGAACTGAATGTGCTATTGACCTTATTTTGTATCTACAGCCTTTTTTGGTGCAATGATCAATTCCTTCATCCATGTGTTAATGTACTCCTACTATGGATTGTCTGCCCTTGGACCTCACATGCAGAAGTATTTGTGGTGGAAGCGATACCTAACCATTCTTCAGCTGGTAAGTATAAAGATCAGGCTGTGTGTTATATGCTTCTGGTGTATAGTTTATTTATTTTAGCTCTGTGATAGCCTTTTTCTTTGTTGCTGTATGATGTGTGTAGTGAAACCTCATTAGTCCAAGGTATTTAAGGGATGGAGAGTCTACTTTTAATGCCTTTGTTTAAAGTAAAACATAGTAATTTATTAGAAAATGAGTCTACATGATTTGATGACATTATTTATTGTTAGAATATGAAATGTCTCACAAAGAAAGCATCAAAAAGAAAACATATCAGTTTAATATGTCTGGTGAATGTGCAAAAATATAAAAATTGATTTATTTTATATAGCAAGAGTCAACAATAAATCAAATCTTGAAAAAAAAAGAAAAGAAAGAAAAAAAGATCTTGTTTTATCTGTCAGCTGTATGATAGATAAAATGGAGATTTTTGTTGGTAATTTACAGGAGAACTATGATAGGCACATTTTATTGTAAATTACTGGTATACTATACTGGAGCTGGAAACTTACTTTTATCTTACATTATCAAGATCATAACCGAAAAAACATTTCCTGAGACTGGGTTTAAAGGACTAATGGACCTTTTAATTACAATTTTTGTACATCATGAAAATGTTTTAAGGTCTGTTTGTAAGTACTGATAACAAGACTAAAGAGGCTTCTCTGTATGGTAGACAGTTTGTAACATGTTTGGTATCACTGTGTGGATGTTTAGAATAAAATATAAACTATCATTTCTACACAGTTCAATATTTATATATGTATCATATATATCGCTCATATATATCATTATTAATGTATTATCATATTGTTATTTTTAATCAACCTACAGTAAATTGATAACAATATTCTGTCATATTTTCTTCTATAGTTTGATGATGACAACATTGACAGAAATATATGTATGATTTTTCATCGCATGAAAATCATTCCTTTTGAGAAAGAAAGTTTCACCTTACTACATCAGTGTTAGGAGTTCAACTCAGTGGGAAAATTTTGACAGGCTGCACAAATTTGCCAATGTAATCTGGTGTAACACAATGTCTAAACACGGTGTTTACTTGGGTTGACTGAAACGTTTATTTCATCTGCAATCTGGCAAACTAAGACCTTTTGAGTATAGAGGTACTCTCAACCTCACAACTGTGTTTAGATACGTGCATGTTTCATACTGTATTGCACTATATATTAAGGAATTCCTTTTTGCATCAATACTTACCTTCAAAGTAAAAATAATTTCCTTTGTACAATAATATGACAAAATATGAAGTGAAACACAAAGTTACATGGACATTTCGATATGACAGTAACAGTAAAACATTTTGAAAGTTGTTATATTAATGTGATATCCATACAAACACATTCACATCCATGTCTTCAGAATGATTCTGGAATTTCATTACTACAGCTTTGGAGTCGTAATTTTCTTTGACTTTGATCTTGCACAGATTTGGGGTAATTCTCTTTTATCTGGTAATTCTTTTTGATCTGGCAATTATCTTTAAAGGTAAGATAACAATACCAGGAAATGAATAACTTACCAATATGTCAGATCAAATTTGATTGGTTTCGACAGTAACAGGTTGACAACAGTTATACATTTTAACAACCTTGTACTTAACACAGACTTTCAAACCCACACTAGTTCAATTCTGTGTCCCATATGGAATTTTGCAATTTGAAAATGTACAAGTTGTGTAATTCTGGCTAAGAAATTGACTTTTATTCAAGGAGACTTCATCAGTAAAACTGTACAGTTTTATGTAGTGTTTTCATGGGCTTGCCTTGTAAACGTAACTGTGTTCTTATGACTGTTCAAAGCATGTGCATACAATTTCATTTACTCCTGCTTTTCTGTGAAGCAATGTTGTTCTAGCATGCTCATTAAGCATTGTACTGCTTAATTAATCCTAATTGGTGTTTGAACATCAATCAGTTTGTGTTTTGCTAGTTTTGAAATCAAAACTTCAATTCATATTTCCAGAGTAAAAAATCTGTATCTCGTTATACACATATTATTTTCTGAATTCAGCATCAAATTACAAACAATTTTGTACATTTGTAATATTGCCACTTAATCAGTAAAGCTTGTAACACATAATTCCTACTAGAAGTTTGATAAAAAATAAACATGTAAGTGTCTCTGTTGAAAACCAACAAGATGTAGAATTTTAATTGAAAAATTAAATTTACTGTCACAAAATTTTATGTTTGGATTTAATATACCACAAAGCAGAAACAAATATTTTCAAAGGCAATTGTAATTACAAATTAATTTATGTTCATATTTGCGATGAATTTATTGATAAAGAAAAAAATAAATATTCAGTAAAATATTTCACAAAATATTGAATTATCACTGGTCAGGAAAATAAGATATGTTGATAAACTACACAACCCCAGTCAAAAACGGTATGAAAGTTCTAAAGCGCATGTTGTTTTCTTTCTCTCTTCATAGTTACAATTCTTTATTGGGATGGTGTATGGATTTCAAAGTCTGTATTTGGGATGTGATTTCCCTCTATGGATGCAGTATACAGGCTTAGTGTACGGTGTAACAATTATCACACTGTTCCTCAACTTTTATATACAAGCCTATATGAAGAAGCCCAGTGCTCATTTACAGGTAATTATTGATTGACTTTTTGTTTTGTTTAGATTCAGTTTGTGGTCGGCATCATACACGCTGCTCAGTCCCTGTATTTCCGTTGTGATTTTCCTGAATGGATGCATTGGGCTCTTTGCCTATACGCCTTCAGCATACTATTGCTGTTCTTGAATTTCTACTTCCATGCCTATATCATATCACTAAGGCGCAAGGTAAATCAATGCAACTATTTAGTTTACAAATAATACTACTAGATTACCTCCCTTTAGTGAACAGCAAAGTTTTATAGTAATTTTGAAAATAAAAAAAAAAGACAAAAGTAAAGAAAAATGTATATGTGTATAATACTCTGTATTGTCAAGACATCCTGTTATAAGTAGAATGTATGAAATTGAAATATCACAAAGTAAGTACCAAGGAACAAGCATAAGGGAAAATATTTCAGTCTATAGATCCATATCATTGAGACATCTTACATTTCAACATATCCAAATCACAGAAACATGTTTCATATTTCACTTACCTCTGATCTAATAATGAGCAGGTTGTCAAGGAAAGATGACGATTTTTGAAGTGTCTTTACAATTTACAAAGCAGAAACCTTGATAACTTGTCTGAAGATATCCAAAATTGTAATACTCTATACAAAAACATCATTTATTGAACATATTTTCATTGTTTTGTTTTCAAAGAAAACCTTTTTCAAACACTTACAATTAGAAAATGATTGTGGACAAAACCATAGAGACTGAAAGATTTTATTTATTTGATTATTTCTGACTGGTAATGGAATTAGCAGTCAAAGTCCGACTAAGTTTTTATGATTTATCATTTCAACATTATCACTTGTATCCATGTCTTTTCATAATAAAAACAATCATAGCCATGTCTTGACAAAATCCTACTATTTAATTTTATAATTAGATTGTAATTATTGTTTATGACTGACTTAATTTTGAGTAACTTGGTTTTTTTTTTTTCATTTCAACAGAAACAAAAGAAAGCAGCAGCAGCTAATGGAGAAGTGAATGGAAAAGTGACAGAAAATGGCTCAGGTTCAACAAACGGCTCATCAGTGGCCAACGGTCACGTAGAAACAAAGAAGGATAAGTGAAGATAGGTCAGAGGTCAATAAAATTAGAAACTTAGGTTGACTGCCACCATACACTATAGGTACACAAGCTGATCCAATTAACAGGGAGGATGTAGAGTTTGTTGGATACAAAGGCAAGAAAATCTCGTTGGATTAACTATTCTCTCTATCTTTCATTTCTAGCCTGATATTATCAATTTACCTCAGTCGTTATTATGATATTTACTATATATTGACTGTGGAATACAAGAAAATATTTTAATGCAGGATTCTATGTTTGATGATTTCCATGCTGGTTCAAGCCTTGTATTGAATCATCGCAATCTTTTTCTTCTTGATATGTGTAAAGTGTTTTCCTGTACCAGTATTTTAACTTACTGTAAGAAATTCATGCACAAAAAAGGAAGAATAACTGAAAGTAATTCACAAAAAAAATCAAAAATCAAAGAACACTTTCAACAAACATCTATATTGCTGTTACTTAAATGCAATACTCTTAATTCTATGCAATTTTTTTTTATTTTTACAAAATAATTAGCTTTTAGAAAAATTAGAGAACCTATTGAAAATGTTGACAATGAAATGAATACAGATTAAATTTTTCACAGTGGTATTCAATTTCTGAACAAGAATTAATTGCAAACCGTTTTTGTTTTTGCAATTGCCAGTCTTTCAATGTGTCTGCTGACAAAAAAGCAGTTATATGTATTTAACAATCTGTCAGCGATTGCATACTCACATCCAGTCTCATTTTGAGTTTATTTCACTTATTGCAAATTGTGAAGCCATATATTGCACAAACTTGGGGTCCAGACTTGTATACCTTCAACCTTGTATATTTATGAAACATTGAAAATAAATGTTCTTATAGTAAAATCCTGATCACAGTATATAAAAGATTAAAATTTATGATTACCCAGTAACTGAAGACTTAAGGAGAATAAACATTACAGTGAGTCCATTATTTCTGAAAAATGGAAGTAAATATTAATGAATAGATTTGTAAAGATGATTATTCTAAAAGTGCGGTTTTTGTTTCTTAGATGAAGCCCATTTTTCACTCCTTGATAATCTAGTCTGCTTTTTTTTCTGTCTGGAAATTTTTCATTGTGCAACAGTTTTATTTGTGCGACAGCACATGTCAGTAAGCCATTGTGAGTGGAGACATTTGTGTTTTATAAGTCAGATGGAATGAGAGTGTTGACAAGTTGTGGTATAACCCATTAAACTGAAAAAAAGTAATAGAGAGGAAGGATAGACAAGAATGATGTTCTAGAAGTAAACTGTGAGGTCATATTCATTTGCTCAATAACTTTCTGTTAACAATCAACAGCAGATGTAGAGTATTTCACAATTATTTATGATAACATTCATATCACTTCTATCTCAATTGTGATTTTTTTTTCACAAATACATTCATGAGGAGCTATATTCATTAACTGCCTAAAACATTTAGATTTATAAGCTCATTAAAACCATTGCAAGTGCAGGTAAGACAAAAATATCTGAAAATTGGATGAATTCAAAGGTTGTTTCTCTCATCACCTCGTCATAAATCTCGGTAGGGTAGATGTTTGGTGTGGTTACTGTGTAATCATTCGCCATTAAAACTGGATTAAGTATGTTGTCATTGGTCTCAACTCTTCAGACATTTAGTACAACATTCTAACCTCTGTATTTCCTAAATACTTTTGAGTCTCATCATGAATTTGAAACCTAAAGGAGTCATTGTTAATCCTTTTGATGTTCTTCTTATCAGAATGATAAATTTCGTGTATTTCATGTGTTTTGTTTTTCATTTATTTAAATGAATACAAACACTTGCTGGTTGGGAAAATACAGAAATCTTTACCCTACTAACCACTGAGGAATGTTCCATTATCATCATCATATTCAATTATCTTACTTAATTTTGAAATGTTTTTCATATTTTCTTTGTTTTGTTGGGAACGGTTTGGAGAGAAAAATTTCAATCATTAGAATTTTTTCTCAAATATTTTAAAGTATTGTGTGTAACGGTACACAGAATGTATGTGATTGATTTTTAAAAGCATAAGTATTATATAAAAAAAATGTTCATTATATTCTGTTTTATAGTCTACAAGTTTGTTGATCAAATTACAAAAAAGATTGTTGTTATATGAGATAGTATATCTTGAAATATACTACTTTGCTTATTGGGAGAGTTAAAGAGATATTCCGCCCAAGTTGAAAAATTTCAGTCTGGTTTGTACCTTTCAGTAATTCATTGTAATGGCTTTTAAAACTATTGTTAACATAAAAATATCTCTCATATGGTCAGTTTGGAAGGCGAAATTGGTGGAAATACTCCCAGTCAAACATCTAAATACATCTCATCATGATATCTGGAATTGAGTTTTGGTTAAAAAAAAAAAGGTGTGTATGTTGTTCACTACATTTTTTTTGCCGGGGTTTCATTACTTCATTAGGCTTGATGTTGATTTTGTAATTTACACAAATATTTCATTTTGCAAAGCAAACCTGTTATGACACAAGCAGAGCCGCGCAAACATTTGTAAATTGATCTCGCTATATGAAGTGAATTTCCACAAATTAATTGTGACATACCTTTATAAATGGTAAATTGAGGTGTACCATTTCCAAAAGAACATAACTCGATGATTTTGTACAGTTATCTTTAAGAGATCCCATGAAATACTAACTTGCACGGAATATCCCTTTGATAGAGATTGTGATACTGAGCTAGTTTTGTAGCTCTGAATACAGGAATGATTTGTGATAGAAATTGATACCGGTTTTTTTCTATGTTTTGAGAGTCTATGTTCAATAAGTGACTTGTCTTCTTTAGAACAATGACCTTGAAGGTTTATGTACTGTAAGTTCTGTTAGAGATCATGATAAAGTCTGACCAAAATGATAAGGTCCCTTAAACAGGTTGTATACATTAAAATCCAACCTGAAACAAATTGTTTATATGCTTGTAAAATTTGAGTGCAATTACTTGCAGTGTTATATAAATTACCACAGGGTCATCAAGATTTATATCACAACAAATTTTGTGCTGGAATTGTTTGTGCCAGAACTATATGTGTGTCTTAATATAGAATTAGTCTATTTCACTTGGTGAACAAGTTTCACCTGATAAAAAAGAATATTTGGTGGCAAATGGAAAAGGCCTTCTGTTCTTGTTAAAACAAATTGTGAGTTGTACTCTTTACCAATGGAACTTAGGGAATAATTACTGTTTCACTACAATAAAATATGTAAACCTACATTTTGTAGCTACACCATATCAACTTAGTGAAGAGATGGATTCTTGGGACAAAATAAGGCATTAAATGTTTTCTTTTCCAAATTTAGAGTAGCCTTACAACATGTTTATTGTGAAATCGATTGTTGTGATATTTATATATATTATGTAAACATCTATTTATTGATTGTACATAGACACAATATCTTTATATTCATTCATATTATCATTATAAATATTGAACTTTTATTTATATAAAAAAAAAAGATGTTCATATGCAATGTACATACTGTCAAAACAAATTCTGATCCTTTTTTCTGTACAAGTAGAAAGCCTAGTATGATATCAGATCAGTTTGTATTTTTTAAACAACTTCTGACGTTGTTAGTTCAACAAAATTTGTAAAATGATATTGTGTTTATCCTGCAATAAGCCCAGGGTGCAAGCAAACTACTTCATACTCAAAAGTCGGAGTTTGGGGATTATTATGGGTTCTGAAATATCACTAGTTCATTTATTCAACATCAGTATTTATGTATATGGATGGGCTGATTATAATCAGGCCTGGGCTTATTGACAGAGGGATACAGTACATACACATTGATTTGTGTAAAAGCCAGGTTTAATAAAGCATAATTTCCGTAAAAGTAGACTATTTGTGGTAGTACACAATATATCATTGAAAGCTATATGTAAACAGCATTTTATTGAGGAGAGTCATAATACATATGGGTGCTATATAGTACAGATAAAAGAGAAATTAGATCTTTTAAAACAAACGTCCATAAAAAATATATACATGGTCTTAAACATTCAATGACATTTCATTACTACAAGAAAAAAACATCTAGAAAACTTGGGTAAATTTTCTACATGCCAAAGGTTAACGTTTACCTGACGGTTATGTTTCTTGCACTTTGTCTATTTTTAGATGTTGTCCCAAATATACCTTTTAACTTGTTATTTTGTATTTAATTTTTGAAAATTTTACTGACATTACATGTACCATTATGTTACCAGGGGAATACACTTTTATTCAAGTTTGTGTTTTTCATGCATTCTTTGAAAAGAAATGCAGTATTGTTTTAAAGATAAGTGTTCTTCTAGAATGACAACTTTATAGCGTTTGATATTTTCTTTTTTACTTTGTATTTAAAAGCAGTAACATGTCAGCATTTGGGTACAAGATTGTTTTACTGTAAAAAGAAATCATTCTGTAGTATATCAGATGTATTTTAAAATTTGTTAATTTTTCATATTGGTAACAATTGATTTGTTCATCTTTATATAGATATATGTATGTAAATTTAAATGTACAAAAGATAATAGGAAACATCATATAGTATTTGATGATTTCATAGATACTGATTTCTATACAAAGCATTATATCATATAAAATATCATTAATATTTTTATAAATGAATTCAATACTACAACTATCAGACTCTAAATCCACAAATTTAACTTCAGAAAATATTTATTTACAAGGACCAACTTTCTAAAATTTAAAAATAAAATTGAATACATGTACAAGGGATATGTTTTCATATGTAAATTTGATGTTCAAAAACCGACTTTCATATTTACCAGGTTCTTTTCCTCAGAATCTTAGACATAGATCTTTGGACAATTTTTGTTTTGTTTTTCTACACAAGACTTTTGTAGGCCTTGTACTTTTTGTATTTTATATATTTTTAATTTTGTATTTTTTTCTGCATCTGTAAATGTTTGAATATTCATATGGCTGTGTAATAGCTTACTTTCCTGAGAGAGAGAGAGAGAGAGAGAG